TGACAGCGGAAGCTCACGCCGCTCCCCGGAATCGAACCTGCGACCTTTCGATCAACAAGCTCAGCAGCTCAGTGCTTTAACCCACTGCGCCACCGGGGGCTCCTTACTGGTACATTATTTAAACTGTTATGTTTATTCATATCATGATCTGATCACCATGCTCAATATATCCCATATGCATGGGGTATTGGGGTAACGATACAAAAGGTTTGCTAAGGTAGACCCTCTTTCACTCAGACTCAGCCCCCCCCCCCCCCCCCCCCCCGAATCAAAATCCTGGCTACAGGCTGCCCATAGCATTGACCTCTGGCTGTTAAAGTGGGGCCAAACTGTATCAGTTCTACAGTGTAGAGCTGGCATGGGCAAACTTTATCCCTCCTGATGTTTTGGACTTCAACTCCCACAATTCCTACCAGCCTAATGGATGTTAAGAATTGTGGGAGTTGAAGTCCAAAACACCTGGAGGGACGAAGTTTGCCCATGCCTGGTGTAGAGGCACCCTTGGACACATGTGTCCTGGTCGCAAAGAATGCCCTTGTTGTGCAAATGGATCTAAATGGAAAAATTTACTGCACCATTTCTGCCACAAGATGTCAGTGTTTGTTTTCCAGTGAAATCAATGAGAAGGAATTCTGAAGGAGAAATATCAATTCACATCTAAAATGTCATACAAATCAACATACGCACTGGAGACATATATTTTGTAAAGTGGGGGGAAAATGAACTAAAGTCATAAGCAGAGGTATAAAACCTCTCAAAAGTAATTTTCAAGAAAAATACCATTTAAAATCACAAGGGCAACTTCTTCGCAGTTACAAGAAATACAAATGAATCGAGTTTTTAAAAATATATTATTTTGTAAATAAAGGTACATTTCTCTACAATTTCCCATGTTTTCGAATGTATGGCCACTATAATAATAATAATAATAATAATAATAATAATAATACTTTATTTATATACTGCTCCATCTCCCCCGAGGGGACTCAGAGCGGTTCCCAGCTAACATCACAAAACATCCAAAGTAAAAAACAACATAACCATAAGATGAACAAAACAAAATATAAATATAAAAATTGTCGCCATAACACACATATATTAAAAGTAATTATACTGTGATTAGTATTGAATGGCCTTGCAGCTTCAAAACCTGGCTGGTTGCTGCCTGGGGGGAATATTTTGTTGGGAGGTGTTAGTTGGTCCTGATTGATTCATGTCTGGAATTCCCCTGCTTTTTGGGTGTTGCTCTTTATTTACTGTCCTGATTTTGTCGTTGTTGCTTATTCGTTCAGTTGCTTCCGACTCTTCGTGACCTCATGGACCAGCCCACGCCAGAGCTCCCTGTTGGCTGTTACCACCGCCAGTTCCTTCGAGGTCAAGCCAGGCACTTCAAGGATGCCATCCATCCATCTTCCCCTTGGTCAGCCCCCCTTCCTTTTCCTTCCATTTTCCCCAGCATCATTGTCTTCTCTAAGATTTCCTGTCTTCTCATTATGTGGCCAAAGTACTTCATCTTTGCCTCTCATATCCTTCCCTCCAATAAGCAGTCGGGCTTTATTTCCTGAAGTATGGACTGGTTGGATCTTCTTGCAGTCCAAGGCACTCTCAGAATTTTCCTCCAGCATCACAGTTCAAAAGCATCTATCTTCCTTTGCCCAACCTTATTTATGGACCAGCTCTCACATCCATAGCTTACTATGGGGAATACCATTGCTTTAATTCATTGCCAGTGTGATGTCTCTACTTTTCACTATTTTATCAAGATTGGTCATTGCTCTCCTCCCAAGAAGTAAACGTTTTCTGATTTCCTGTCTGCTGATTTTAGAGTTTTTGAATACTGGTAGTCTGATTTTGTTCATTTTCATGGTTTCCTCCTTTCTGTTGAAACTGTCCACATGCTTGTCTAAAATCAGGACAGTAAATAGACACACTCCTTCAAATGTGAAGTGGGAATCTGTATACTTCATGGGAAGTCTCTTTTGATTAATCACTGATCCAGTGTTTCCTCTCTCACACACATACTCTGTGACATTCTCCACCTCCTTAGTTGGATTTTATTTTTCATGGTAATTTGACTTCTGCATTCTTTGGTGTTGCAAGTCTGATCTTCATTCAGTGAAAAATCAAAATTGCACTGTAAACTGTTTGCTTTACACATAAGAGACAAAATAAACAAACAAACAGATCCCTCAAACAGAACAATGGATAGATAAATTACATGAAATAAGAGATATGGACAAATTAACCTTCTTCCTAAGGAAGAATGTAGGGAGACCAATGAGACAAGCAGATTGGAAAAAGTTTGAAGAATATATTGAAAATAAGTAATCAAAAATATACAAATTTAAAACAAGAATCTAGAGAGATTAATAACTTTGGTTAGAAGGGGGGGCTATAGAAAACACCACCAAGAAGAAGAATGGAAGTCAAAATACATGTTTGTGTAGTTATGTTTGATTTAGTGTTTATATATATGTTGCTGTTGTTCATTCGTTCAGTCGTTTCTGACTCTTTGTGACCTCATGGACCAGCCCACGCCAGAGCTTCCTGATGGCTGTCACCACCCCCAGCTCCTTCAAGGTCAATCCAGTCAGTTCAAGGATCCCATCTATCCATCTTGCCTTTGGTCGGCCCCTCTTCCTTTTTCCTTCCATTTTCCCCAGCATCATTGTCTTCTCTAAGCTTTCCTTTCTTCTCATGATGTGGCCAAAAACTTCATCTTTGCTCTACTATCCTTTCCTCCAATGAGCAGTTGGGCTTTATTTCCTGAAGTATGGACTGGTTGGATCTTCTCGCTGTCCAACGCACTCTCAGAACTTTCCTCCAGCACCACAGTTCAAAAGCATCTATCTTCCTTCACTCAGCCTTCCCTATGATCCAGCTCTCACATCTGTAGGTGACTACGGGGAATAACATTGCTTTGACTATGTGGATCTTCATTGCCAGTGTGATGTCTCTACTCTTCACTATTTTATCAAGATTGGACATTGCTCTCCTCCCAAGAAGTGTCTCCTGATTTCCTGGCTGCAGTCTGCGTCTGCAGTCATATTTGCACCTAGAAATACAAAGTCTGTCACGGCCTCCATGTTTTCTTCCTCTATTTCCCAGTTGTCAATCATTCTTGTTGCCATAATCTTGGTTTTTTTGATGTTTCGCTGCAACCCAACTTTTGCACTTTCTTCTTTCACCTTGGTTAGAAGGCGCCTTTCTTTGGTTTTTGTTTTTTATCCTTCCCTTTGTGTCCCTTCTCCTTTCAACTCCCCCAATGCCCTTTACCCACGACTGTCCTTCCCATAATCACTGTATTCCGAAAATTTCAATAAAAATATTTATTTAAAACTAGCCGTCTCCTGCCACGTGTTGCTGTGGCCCAGTCTCTGTATATGTGTTTTGTGTGTGTATATATGAGTATGTGTATATATGTTTCTGTATATATGTGGTTTTCTGCATGCATTGTAATGTAATTTTGTCCCTTCTGTTGTGTTTTCAGTGTTTTTATGAGTGATGGTCACTCATTGGCGTGATAGGTGTATTGTGTCCAAATTTGATGTCTATTCGTCCAGTGGTTTTTGAGTTATGTTAATCCCACAAACGAACTTTGAATTTTTATTTATATAGAAAAAGTGAGACAAAAAAATTACCGAAACACTGAAAAAAAAAGCAGGGGAATTCCAGACAAGAATCAATCAGGACCAGCTAACACCTCCCAACAAAGGAACCCCCAAGGCAGCAACCAGCCAGGCTTTGAAGCTACAAGGCCATTAAAAAATGAAGTTCAACGGGGACAAATGCAAGATACTCCACTTAGGCAGGAAAAACGAAATGCAAAGATACAGAATGGGGGACGCCTGGCTCGAGAGCAGTACGTGTGAAAAAGATCTTGGGAGTCCTTGTGGACAACAAGTTAAACATGAGCAAACAATGTGATGTGGCGGCAAAAAAGCCAATGGGATTTTGGCCTGCATCAATAGGAGCATAGTGTCTAGATCCAGGTAAGTCATGCTACCCCTCTATTCCGCTTTGGTTAGAACACACCTGGAATACTGTGTCCAATTATGGACACCACAATTGAAGAGAGATATTGACAAACTGGAATGTGTTCAGAGGGTGACTAAAATGATCAAGGGTCTGGAGAACAAGCCCTATGAGGAGCGGCTTAAAGAGCTGGGCATGTTTAGCCTGAAGAAGAGAAGGCTGAGAGGAGATATGATAGCCATGTATAAATATGTGAGAGGAAGCCACAGGGAGGAGGGAGCAAGCTTGTTTTCTGCTTCCTTGGAGACTAGGACGCAGAACAATGGCTTCAAACTACAAGAGAGGAGATTTCATCTGAACATGAGGAAGAACTTCCTGACTGTGAGAGCCGTTCAGCAGTGGAACTCTCTGCCCCGGAGTGTGGTGGAGGCTCCTTCTTTGGAAGCTTTTAAACAGAGGCTGGATGGCCATCTGTCAGGGGTGATTTGAATGCAATATTCCTGCTTCTTGGCAGGGGGTTGGACTGGATGGCCCATGAGGTCTCTTCCAACACTATGATTCTATGATTCTATTATTTGGAGGGTTTTAAACAGAGGCTGGATGGCCATCTGTCGGGGGTGTTTTGAATGCAATGTTCCTGCTTCTTGGCAGGGGGTTGGACTGGATGGCCCATGAGGTCTCTTCCAACACTATGATTCTATGATTTTCTCTCGGTAGCTCAAACCCCCTCCTTCTGGAAGTTGCAGTTCTTAGCTCCATGAGGCCTCCATAACAACTCATAGAACCGTTGTGGAGGAAAAGACTCAATTTCCCATCCGCAAGCGAGAAAAAAAGAATATGGCGGACGAGGCAGAGTGGAGTGACAAGAAAAGGGGCCGGCCTTGAGGTGGAGCGGAAAGCGAGAGGGCGCGAGAGCGGCGGGAAGATGGGCGCGGTGCATGCCGGTAGTTGCAGTTATTTCAGGTGGAGCTCTTCGCCGCGGCCGAAGGAAAGCGGGAGCAGGGAAAACTACGATTCCCACGATGCTCTGCGGCTGAGGCCTAGCCAGGGCTGCGCGCGCAGAGGCGCCTGGCCCTTTCGCTGCTACGGAGGCGAGGCGGCGAGAGGAGGCCGCGGCGGCGAGGTGAGTGAGGGAAAAGAGAGAAGGAAAGGAAGGAAGAACCCTGCCTTTCCCATCTGTCTCCTTTGAAGGAGACTCGGAGGGGCTGACCATGATAAAAAGAATGCAATTTACAACATATAAACATTAAATATATAGAACTCATAAGTCATTTTCCAGAGATGAGGGAGCATTTTCCCTCATATGTCGGAAATTGGGGAACTTTGGGGCCTTGCCCAAACGCCTGATGCGGATATATATGGGCATATTATTATTATTATCATTATTATTATATTTATATTCCACTTATTTCTCTTGAAGGAGACTCTAGTGCAGGCATGGGCTAACTTGGGCCCTCCAGATGTTTTGGACTTCAACTCCCACCATTCCTTACAGCCTCAGGCCCTTCACCCTCATCTTAACGGCTGAGGGGGAAAAGGAAAGGGCCTCAGGCTGTTAGGAATGGTGGGAGTTGAAGTCCAAAACACTTGGAGGGCCCAACCTAGCCCATGCCAGCTGTAGTGGCTACCAACGCTAGAAACAGTACTTCACAAATTACCGAAATGAGAGAATTTCGGAGAAAAGAGGATTGTGACAGATATCCCTTCAAAAAGCCTATTAGGAGATTAGTCAGGTAAGGGATTGATGGTGATACAGTCCAAGCAAATCTTTTTTTGATGCAAAGATTCCCTGGATAAAATGCAACTGTTCCATTTACAGAAAAAAGGATCCTTTTCTGTAAATAAAGGCTTGCAAATGTCCAGGTAAGAGTGTTTTATCATACTATGATTTAGGGTCACCATAGGTGCACTTAAACCAGGCATGGGCAAACTTGAGCCCTCCAGGTGTTTTGGACTTCAACTCCCACATTTCCTAACTCTTCTCTGCTTGAGGGAAGTCTGAATGTTGTAATTGGCTACCTCGGTTAGCATTTAATGGCCTCAGCTTCCGAGCACAATTCAAAGTGCTGGTCTTAACCTATAAAGCCCTAAACGACTCCGGCCCAATTTACCTGTCCGAACGTATCCTCCCCTATGAGCCATCAAGATTGTTAAGATCTTCTGGAGGGGCCCTGCTCTCGATCCCACCGGCCTCACAGGCGCGGCTGGTGGGGACGAGAGACAGGGCCTTCTCGGTGGTGGCCCCTCGACTCTGGAACTCCCTTCCACTGGAGATCAGAACTGCCCCTTTTATCTTAACGTTCAGGAAACAGGTGAAAACTTGGCTTTGGGGATTGGCTTTCGACGAATGAGCCATGATCCTGTGATATGGATGGATGACGACGAATAATGATTTTTGATGACGACTGACCACTGTAATCATATGACTGTATTTGCTATTTTAATGTTTTAGTGTGATTTAGAATATGATGTTTTAATGACTGTCTGTAATATTGATGTTGGAAACCGGCCTGAGTCTCTCGAATGGAGGTGAGAAGACTGGTATACAAAACTGCTAAATAAATAAATAAATAACATGTAACACTAAGGTAAAATTAATATAATTTACACAGAATGCTCTGTGATTGTAGATGAACTATAAATCCCAGCAACTACAACTCCCAAATGTCAAGATTCTATTTTCCCCAAACTCTACCAGTGTTCACATTTGGACATATTGAGTATTCGTGTAGAGTTTGGTCCATATCCATTATTGTTTGAGTCCACAGTTATCTCGGGATGTAGGTGAACTACAACTCCAAAACCATAGGACACTGCCCACCAAACCCTTTCAGTATTTTCTGTTGGTCATGGGAGTACTGTGTGCCAAGTTTGGTTCAATTCCATCGTTGGTGGGATTCAGAATGCTCTTTGATTTTAGGTGAACTATAAATCCCAGCAACGATAACTCCCAAATTACAAAATCATTCTTTTTAGTGAAGTACATACATTGGGTTGTTAGGTGTATTGTGTTAAAATTTGGTGCCAATTCGTCCAGTGGCTTTTGAGTTCTGTTAATCCCACAAATACATTTTTATTTATATAAGATATCTATCAATCTCGGTATAGGGCCCTTCCACACAGGGCCCTATATCAAGGCAGAAAATCCCACAATATCTGCTTTGAACTGGGTTATCTGAGTCCACACTGCCATATAACCCAGTTCAAAGCAGAATATGAGGGTTTTTATTTAGGTGTGTGGAAGGGGTTAGTTGACATACCATAGAATCATAGAGTTGGAAGAGACCTCATGGGCCATCTAGTCCAACCCCCTGCCAAGAAGCAGGAAAATTGCATTCAAAGCACCCCTGACAGATGGCCATCCAGCCTCTGTTCAAAAGCCTCCACCACACTCCCCGGAGAGAGTTCCACTGCTGAACAGCTCTCACAGTCAAGAAGTTCTTCCTAATGTTCAGGTGGAATCTCCTTTCCTGTAATTTGAAGCCATTGTTCCACGTCCTAGTCTCCAGGGCAGCAGAAAACAAACTTGCTTCCTCCTCCTTATGACTTCCTCCCCCTTCCACGCAGTTGTATAAAATCCACATTGAACTAGATTATATGTCAGTGTGGACTCAAATAATCCAGTTCAAAGCAGGTATTGTGGATTATCTGCCTTGATATTCTGGGTTATATGGCTGGGTGGAAGGGACCACCAACTGGACTATATGTCAACTAACGAACTGGATACTAAGAGACCACCAACTGGGTATCAAGAGCCCTTAGGGAGACCTTGTACTCGATGGGACGAACCAATGGTTAAGCTATTCAACCAGAAATGGAAAAGAAAAACACAGGATCGTATATTTTGGCAAATGGTAGATTTGTGTGAAGCCCAAAGGAGTGGATCGATGACAAATTGGATAAGATAGGATATAGGATAGGATTTAATACTGGCATATGAACATGGTTTAGTCAGATAAAATCTGTGTGATAACAGATCTTTGGACTATCAGTTTCATTTCTGGTTTTATGCACTGTAGAAGGCATGATCAAATAGTTTACCATTAATAATAGAAAATACTTGCATCCCCTTTTATTTTGTAAGCCAAATTGAGTTTCCAGTTTTGGGGGAAAGGTGGGATATAAATGGATTTGTTACATTACAATCCATCAAACACATGGGCTTTGGCCGGGGTGGGGGGTAGAATCATGAGACTTTGAAAGGATTCAGAGGGTAATCTATTCCAGCCTACTTTCTACCAGGACAGAAAACCCATAGCTGAGAAACCCTTTGACCCCAGTTTAACTGTCGTTGCTCCTATGGTGTAGAAAAGCAGAAAGGAAAGAGAGCATATCACCCTTAAAGGTGATCTGTGCCATCTTGAATAGGTTTTGCCATCAGAGCAATTGAATTGCCTTTCTTCTTTCCTCATCCATTAAAAAAAAACACTAATGGCGCAGTAATGTCTCAGTGGAAATAACACCACATGCATTTGAGTCAAAAGGTCGGGCATCCTGGGATGCTTTTATTTTAAGTGAAACATTCTCGTCTCTAAGGTGCCACAAAACCTCATTGGAGAAAGTGGATTTGGGAGTGGGTGAACAGCACCAACTGAGCCTCCTTTTCACTGGAATGTGAGATTGTGCCAAAGCCTTCTTATACTTATATCCTGTTTTCCATCACATCAGCACAAGGTGGAATACATACGTGGCACTATACTTATCTCCCAGCCGTACAACATTCTTTGAAGTAAGCAGTCGGAGAGACAAAGTGACTGCTCCAAAGTCATCCAGTGAGTTTTACGGTTCAGTGGAAAGTAGAACCTGCATATGCCAAGTCAAACCGCCTTAATCATAGCTGTTAAGAATCTTCAATTTTTGGATCGTTAGACCTTCAGATAATCTTTAAAATCCCAATACAATGTAGTGTTTCAAACACAGCCAGCATTGTGAGCCTTAAATACATAGTTTGCGATATATTTTGACCTTGTTATGACTAAGTAGTTGCTGAAACATAAGCTGTAGTTTTTTTTTTGTCTAAAAATGGATAGCACCGTAGGCACTATTGAAAGTGGAACAGACCTTAATCGAGACCTCAAAATTGGTCTTTGCCATTTTCAGAACTGGTTGTTTTCCGACGTGGTAGAAAGCAGACACAGAAGCTGTTCTGTTTCTCTCATGTGCAAAAGGTTGTAGGTTAACTGGCTTAACTGAGAAGTGAAACAAAGACTTCATCCAATTGTGTTGCCTGTTTCTCTCATACTGTATGTAGTTGAGGCCATGGATTCTCTCCCCCCCCCCCCCTCCCCATCAGTTCAATGATTTATTTTTGAAACTTGCTTCCAGTGTCTGTTAAAGAGTAGTCAGTTTCAGAATTCCTTCTTACTTTGTCATTTGTTGGATACAATTTTCAGTTTCCAGCGAAGATCTAAATGGATTATAACAATAAATTTATTGCGTGTTAGGTCCTTTAGGGAGTTTGGAAAGAAATGTTCTTTCCTTACTTATTTGGCAGGATTTTTTTCTCTGTGTTTCAAAAGTATCTGTTGGGTTATTTAGTACTCTGGATTGAACTGAGGGGTTTGAGCAGTGGGGAGAGGAATACCATAGCATTTTGTATCTTGCCTGTTTCTAATTACCTTTTAGGGCACAAATAGAGATGACAACATATTACTGCTGCTTCACTGTTGGTATTCAATAGGACCTCTTCAGAAACTGAAAGTCTGAAAGAGATAGTCTTGTCCTGCTTGCCTCTGTCTGAGAGACTCCTTGAGGTGGATCTATGGCCTTACAACTGTTATCTCAAGAGGCTACTAGGGGATCATAGGAAAGACCCAACTGTTGCCCCAAGAGGCCACTAGAGTGTTGACATGGAGACCCTAATCAGCCAGGTGTGATCAGTCACTAAGGGACACAAAAAGCACTGCTTTGTGTTTCAGCCTGGTGATAGAATCATCCTTGCAATCATAACACAAACAATTATTTTGACTAATAAATACCATTAGAAAATGCAAGCACAGACAACACCGGACACCTAAGCAAATATTTTATAAAATGACATTCCAAGCATCTCTTCTAAAATAGAATAGGTGTGAATTTGGCAGTAAGTCCATCTTACTTGACAAGATTAATCTCTCTTCATCGAATTAAAGACGAGGAAGGATTATATCCATAGCAAGCTATTCAGTGTTACAGAACCGTGCTCTGGCACTCTGCCTCTTAACTGAGGTTCAAGCCAGCTTCCTCATTTTCTGAAGGCTTGTGAAGGCCAGATGAAGTGCTGTTGTCAGATTTCTAGCTTTGACAGGCTGCAGCTGAAAGGCCTGGTTCAGGGATGTGGTGGACAGGGATCAGGAAAGCAATGGAATGCAGGCCAGGCTCTTGCTTTGGCAAAAGAGGATCAGAGGACCAGCAGAGAAAGAGCCAGGCAGAAGGCAGTGTTTTGATTTGGGAAGGGGCCAGGAACAGATGTGATGTTAAAATTGAGCAGCACCTAAGAGAAGGCAGCAAAACTGTAGGCGGATTACTCACCCATGAGACAAGTTTCTTGGACTAATAAACTGGCTTCACTGCATTGGATCTGATGTCTCCCAAACGCCTTGGACAATCTACTGATCGTATTCAAGTTGAGAGATAGCTGACTCCTCATGCAGGATCTGAATTCTAGACAGTTCTGTCTGTTCAGAAGCCTAGGTTTTGGTTTGAGATAAGTTCTTTTGGCAGACACATAGTCCCTGCTATTAGTTGTGTAGCTACAGCTTCTAACTGGATGTATGAACTATGTCCCTCAGTCCTGTTTGCAAGGTATCCTGTAGCAAAGAATATTTGGATCTATAGGAAAGCTCCGCATAGTCAAAGCCATGGTATTCCCTGTAGTAACCTACGGATGTGAGAGCTGGACCTTAGGGAAGGCTGAGCGAAGGAAGATAGATGCCTTTGAACTGTGGTGCTGGAGGAAAGTTCTGAGAGTGCCTTGGACTGCGAGAAGATCCAACCAGTTCATTCTCCAGGAAATAAAGCCCGATTGCTCATTGGAGGGAAGGATACTAGAGACAAAGTTGAAGTACTTTGGCCACATCATGAGGAGACAGCAAAGCCTAGAGAAGACAATGATGCTGGGGAAAGTGGAAGGTAAAATGAAGAGGGGCCGACCAAGGGCAAGATGGATGGATGGCATCCTTGAAGTGACTGGACTGAACTTGGAAGGAGTTGGGGGTGGTGACGGCTGACAGGGAGCTCTGGTGTGGGCTGGTCCGTGAGGTCACGAAGAGTCGGAGACGACTGAACGAATGAACAACAACATAGGAAAGCATTTCAGTATATTCTTGCACTGTAACAGAATGCAACAGCTCATATAGGTAGCTAGAAATGCCTTTGTTCAGAAGAGTATGGCTGATATCCCATATGACCATGCATAGTGTCAGAGGCCTTCATGCGGGACTCCATTGTAGCAAACCCTCAGTGATGGCAATCAGAAGTTATAGTTGCCCAAAGACAGGAGTTCTCTAGGGGATGATTTTTCTTCTTGATGCGGGACTAGCCATTTAAATTCCTAGAGCTTTGCTGAAACTTTCTGGGTGTAGCTGCAATGATGAAGTTGAGATCCCTATTTAGCTGCCCTGCCTGAAATAAATCTCCAGTGGAACAGCTGAAGATGGATTAGACTCTTGTTCAGTTGGGTTCTGCTCGGAAGTCCCACATCTAACAGGCCTGCCGATGGGCCGGGGCAGCTGCTGCCAGCTTCCTCAAAAGCTGTTATTCTGCTTGCCTAGGCAGAATAACATTTCAGTATACCACTTCTCTGAGATTTAAAATTTTATATGTCTGGCACAGCTTCAGGATATTGGTATTCAAACGAAGCAATCAGTCCTTTGTCTTAGCAATGACAGTGTTTTCAGAATGGTTAGCCAACGTTCAGCTCAGCTTGTGATCTTGTGGTAAGTACTTATTGAATGGTAATTATGATTTATTGCAATGTACCTTACCCTAGATTGCACGTGTGATTTTATGTGTGCTTCCTTGAGGATATGGTATAGAGCAAAGCCATATATCTTCTCACAATAATGCCTATGCTTGCTTGCCATCTGGTGATAGTGCTTGGATGTTCAAGCTTTCTGTGTTTGCCTGATATTCAACCATTTCGCTGCTTGCTGAGTTGTTTATGTTTGTCACTTTATAGGGAGAAATTGTAAGCCACCTGGCTTGCTGATTTTTTTTTTAATATAAATAAACCTAATAATTCTGCTGAAATACGCCAGTGGTCTGCTTCGTTTTGCCAGCATAACACACTTTTTGGAGTGAGCACAGCAGCTGCAGCGGGGCAGAGGGAAAGTGGGTTTTGTTGCCAGAGAAAGCTGCTTTGCTGGCTCCTGAGCCTCTTAACAGAGACAACCTGCCATGAGGCCCACAGTCATTTTCACCACTCAGCTGTCCTGCACAAGTATAGCTATGTTGGGCAGTAGGATTGTGGCCCAAACAAACACATGTACATCTAAAAGGGAGTACATTTTTTCACATGAGAAAATGCAGATATTGTAGCTCCAGTGATCTCACAGACATGGCTATGATCCTGCTATTCTCTGCGGCTCATTCATCCACTGAATCACTCGATTACAACTCTTCACTTTGCCTTAGAACAGACCTGCACAACCTCCAGGTGCTTTGGCCCCCAACTCCCACTGCCTTAGAATCACACAGGCAAAAACAAAGAAGTCTCTGTTTGCTGCTCTAAGATATTACAGTCTATAATAGATAACTTCCCACTTTGGGCTGTTGTGTGTAGTAATAAGGACAGAAAATCTGATCATGAAGGGAAGCACAATTGTTGTTCAGTGTCCGACCCTTCTGTATGATGTAGAAAACCCTCCAAAATCTGATAGCCCCCTGTATATCTTCATGTTTATACCCCTTGACATATCAATGAGTCGTCTCAAAATTCATAACTGCCCTTGACCTACCAGGTTCAACTTATCCAAGAATATATATCAGTGGTTCTTAGTCTGTGGGCCCCAGGTGTTTTGGCCTACAACTTCCAGACATCCCAGCCAGTTTACCAGCTGTTAGGATTTCTGGAAGTTGAAGGCCAAAACATCTGGGGACCCACAGGTTGAGAACCACTGATATATATGGTACTTCTAAACAAGACTTTAAAAAGTATGGCAGAATACAGAAGGCTTTCTTTCTGCCTCCTTCCTGACTAGGAGAGACTTCAAAGGTAACAACAACCTTCTGGGGAGAGGAGAGGTGATAAAAAATAACCGCAATAAGTTTTGGGCAACATGTTATTTTGGTTTAGTGATTGCAGGGTGAGAAGATACATGGTACTCTTTTTTAGATGCAAGACAATTAAAGCATCCCTTGAGATCTAGGTGGAGCAGGTGGCAATGCCCTTGTTTTTCAAGCTAGGTGGCTGGAGAGAAGGGCTAACTAATACTGAGGAGAAGGAGGAGGAGGAGCAGTTGGTGAGGGACCTTTGGGCCCCTCTGGGCTAAGCCAAAGGTGTTTTCCTCCCTTAGGCCAGCCCTTCCCCTTCCTGATTAAAAATTAACCTTGTAGGAGGTTTGCATGCCTGGCACTAGGAAGACAAAGCAAAGGTCTTTCACTGGCAGAATCCCAGGAGGGCCCCAGGAGCTCAAGTGAGGACAGATATCTTCTGTCTTTGTGTTATAACAGGTAACGTTACGTTACTACAGTATGGATAAAATGCATTATATTGCATCACACAGAACGGCCATTTTGTCGGGGACAGGGTCTCAGGGATTGTCTTTTCCAGGCATAAGTTGAAAGCTAGGGTCCAGCTAGCTCTTTAAGATGGAGCCAGCCAAAAGTGACCTTTATTGCTCACAGTAAAGCTGAGTTATTTCGGTTTATTTCTGCCCAATGTATTTGTTATGTCACATGTTGTTTTTGCTTTTATGCACTGGCCAGATTTTGATCTAGCTGTCATGTCTGGTCAAAAATCACGTGATCTCTCAGTATGAATAGATTATTGATCCTGGATTTGGCTCATTTAGATAAATCATATGCCCCTTATGGTTGTGAACATGTTCTCTTTGTCCTGTGGAAAAGTAGGATGAAAGGGGAGAAGTAATAGTAGTAATAATAGGAAAGGGATCTAAAAGAACCTCATATACCTGAGACCTTGGGATCATCCTGGGAGGAAAATGTTAATTTGTTTCTCAGACCATCTGAAGAACAGCGGTTCAGAGCCAACATTCTGGGTGCTTTATAGGCTTACAATTTTTACCATTTTTGTCATTATAGTCTTCCTCTTTGCAGACATGGCATGTTAAGATTAACTTATCTTTGAGTGAAGTTTATGTTCAAGCTGGGTAGGGTCATATTGAGAAATTAAGCTTATCTTAGAGTAGTAGATCTGAAGAAGGCCTGATTAATGCTTTCTGTTCACCTTTCAAAATAACAAAATAACACCACCCTGTGAACAGTTGTCATATAAACCATTCCTTTTATTTTGCAGAGCTGATCTTTTGCATTTCGTTAAGTGGAAAGAGACTTGTGGCTTCTGAGTTGTGCCATAGGAGAGCCTCTTTCAAGTAAGGTAAGCTTCCAGAGTCATTTCAGTGTTCATTATAGACAAGGTCGTGGTAAGATATTGCATAACCTCCATGTAAAACCATTTCAGATTTCACAAATTAAATTTTAAAAAATCACTTCGAGAAAAATCGTGTTCCTGCATTGAAAGTTGGTATTGTATTTCAGCTTTTGTAATGAACAAAACTATTGCTTAGTCAATCACAAAGATCTAGCTTTAACACTTAAAGCAATGCAGAAACTCTTGGAAGTCAGTGCAAGAGCATTTCTCAAGTTACTAACAGGAAACTTGGCCAGTTTGTTTGGTGCAAATGGGAACCAGAACCATAGCTCCGATGTAGCCAATTTGTCCAGAAGGTTACCCCAAGTTAACTGCTTTTGTCTGTATTTTATGTTGTGCTTGAGTTCAGGAGCTAAGGGAGATTAGAACTTGATTGAGAAGGAAAATGTGAGGAAATGCTACTGACTGGGAGACACTAGGAAAAGGCAGCTGAGAACGAATTGGTCCTAGTGCAGCTAAGAAAGAGGACTGGGTAATAATAATAATAATAATAATAATAATAATAATAATAATAATAATTGCAAGAAAATCGCACAAACGGACTACAAACAGAGGCGCAACTCTGTGGCCCAGATGATTCACTGGAACTTATGTCACAAGTACTACCTGCCAGCAGTAAAGAATTGGTGGGAACATAAACCTGCAAAGGTCATGGAAAATGAACATGCAAAAATACCGTGGGACTTTCAAATCCAGACTGACGAAGTTTTGGAAAACAATACACCAGACATCACGATTGTGGAAAAGAAAAAAGTCTGGATTATTGATGTCAGCGTACCAGGTGACAGTCACATTGAGGAAAAACAACAGGAAAAACTCAGCTGCAAAGGCTCTGGCATAATTGAATTGCAAAGGCTCTGGCATAAACCAGTACAGGTGGTCCCAGTGGTCATTGGCGCACTGGGTGCCGTGCCAAAAGATCTCAGCCGGCATTCGGAAACAATAAACATAGACAAAATCACGATCTATCAACTGCAAAAGGCCACCTTACTTGGATCTGTGCACATCATTCGAAAATACATCACACAGTCCTAGACGCTTGGGAAGTGTTCGACTTGTGATTTTGTGATACGAAATCCAGCATATAGATCTCTTTGCTGTGACATACTGTGCTTTTGTGTCAATATTAATATTATTATTATTATTATTATTATTAATAATAATAATAATAATAGCAACAACAACTACCAGCAACCACCAACAACTCTGGGACTTTGAAATTCAGACTAATAGAGTTTTAGAGCACAATACCCCTGACCTCACGATTGTGGAAAGAAACAAAGTATGGATCATCGATCCATACAGGAGAATAGACAAGAAGCAACTGGAAAAGCTTACACGATACGAGGATTTAAAGTTAGAACTGGAAAGACTCTGACACAAGCCAGTAAAAGTGGTTCCAGTGGTGCAGGCCAAGGTCCCTAAAGATCTTGGCCTGCACTTAAAAACAATTGGCGCTGATAAAATTACCATCTGTCAGGTGCAAAAGGCCACCCTACTCAGATCTGCACACATTATTCTCCGATACATCACATAGTCCTAGAGTCTTGGGAAGTATCCAATGTGTAATTGAATACAAAAGCCAGCATAATGATCTCGTTTGCTGTGTACTAATCTTGTTTTATATCAAATAATAACAGTGATAGTTTATTTTTAACTCGCCCTGTCCCCAAAGGGACTCAGGGCGGCTTCCAAACATAAAACATAAATTGGCAAACATTCATTCATTAATACATTATACCTATAGCTAAAACAAAATAAAAGACATTGGCTGGTAATATGAATCAATACGTCTTTAATGTGTTCTGAAAATTAATGGTGAATTCCTTAAACTGTGTGGTCTCCATTTTGTATAACAGGGTTAGAACTGAGGCCATTTGCTTAAATATGAATTAAGCAGAGCACTGAATTGCATTGAAGTGTGAGAGGTAGAAACCAGTTAAACTTTTGCTGAAATGGTATCCTTATGTTCAGTAAAGTTTCTTGTACATTATGGTTGTTCAGGCATCTTTGCCCTCTGATTGACTTCTCCAGTTTGTTTAAAAAGGGAAGAAATTAATGAAGCCTTGCTCTTGAAGGAGCCCCAAATTCAAACCAGGTCTCAAATCATGACCAGATTGCTGAAGAATGTGCCATACGTTACTTTCCCTTATCCAGAATGTCTTATTTCTATATACAGAACTGAACATCGTGCAGTCATCTATATCAGATCCAGGAAGGATGATAGCTCCGTTTTATCTTTAGTTTTTTTTAAAAAAATCATAGAAATGTGCAGCTTGGAGCTTATTTTGATTCATATCTGTCCTTTTTTCTTTCTCAAATCTTTCTTTATATCCTGTTGGGTGCATGTCAGTGGCGGCTGAAATCTTGACATCTTCCAAGGCTTACTGAATGCTCAGAGCATATCTGACTCTGAAATAGGAGCCTTTCAGTGAAAGGGAGAGGTGGGGAGGGGCAAGTATTAATTCCTGGCAACACGCTGTTTGGAAATCTCAATTCCATTGTTGTTCAGCCTTTGCCATTGCTTGGAATGGGTACAGATTGTAGGTTAGGCGGAGGGAAGCAAAGACATTGGAACACATGAATTTGTGTCTGGTTTCAAAGAAAGAAAAGTTTCCCCAGTTAAGCAAATTGACTGAATTCTCTCAGTGCACACTCATGCTTCTTTGTAGAGCAAAAATGATGGGACAAGCCAGGTGTCGGCTTATAGGGTTAAGCCCCTGTCAGTCCGTCCCTGGCAGAAAGAGAGGCTGGGCCTTCCAGAGCCTTCTTTGCCAAGGATTACTTGAGGCATGCAGCTTCCCTTGCTAGCTTTCAGAAATGGCCAGGACTCCTTTTTGGGGTCCTTTTATTGCTAGCCAGAACTAGATCTGTGTCAAGGGATGGAGTGTGTCAGATGAGGTTAACAGTGTGACTAGTTTTGAAAACACATTCAAAGTGATTGGGAGTGTTTTCTGCAAATAAATCGATATGCAATAATTTAATTTTTCCTCTTGTTCTAGAAAGGTTACGTTTTTTAGAAGTGTTATGCTCCATTAACAGTCTTTTATTAAAACACTGTAAGAGAAAGTAATATTTCAGTGACACAGCACTGCACTTTCATCCCATGCCCTGTTCCTTAGCTACAATTTGCATTGTCCTATTCCCTTGTCTTGTTTACAGTTTTGTCATGTCTTGTGCTAGTTGTCACCATAGGTCACTGGGCGTTGTTCTGAGTTTTAAATTGCTGTTTTTGTGTGCTTTTGTATGCATAGTTTTTACTTTGCATTGTACTTTGTGTTTATTTTATGCTTTGTCTCGGCACTTTGTGCCAAATGTAAGCCGCCCTCAGTCCCTTCGGAGAGATGGAGGCAGGGTACAACAACAACAACAACAATAATAATAATAAATTTTGGTTAAATTTTGAAGAGACTATATCTGGAAATGAAATATATTTTGCTGCTTATTAGATAAAATTGCTATCAACTGCCAAGGAGACTCTAAGGGTTAACCGGATCCTCTCCTAAAATGTATTTAAACTATTATTAACTTCCATTGTTTTTGTTGTGGGAGCAAATTATGGTTTCTGTTTAGCATCCTTGGTGCCTATACTCCGTGGGTACTATTGTGCGTGTGTGTTGGGTTTTGTCATGGCCTTGGACCCGTACAATAAACTATTTTGATGATGAATACAGCAATGTGTGACTTTTTAAAAATTGGCTCTTTTTCTGTTGCACTATATTCCATTGCACTATATTCCAAATACTTCAGAAGTTCCTAAGGCTTCTTTGAGAAGCCACCATTGAGAAGTCCATTCTATGTAATTTATCTTTGATTATAATTATTTTTGTATTTTGTGTACTGATTTTTTTATTAAAAAAACCCTGAGGTCTTTGCTTAAGGTGTCTGTCTTGCATTCTTCCTTTGCAAATGTGATTCTTTAAAGGCATTTGATACCTTAGGAAAAGTTAGTATCCATCCCCAGTGTTTGAAATGTCGAAAGACTTGGAAGGGTTCCCAATTTATTTTGGCTGCAAGGGGACTCCCCTGAGGCCGCTTGACTGTGACAAGTGTATAACTGGGTTTTCCAGCTGCAAACGGGGCTGGTCTGAAAGTCAGCACCTCATCCTTAACGTTGGTCTGTAAGTATTCTCTTGGTTAAATGAGGAGCGGGAGAATCAGTATCCCTAATTGGGGGGATTTTAGAGAAAGACCTTTCTTTCATTGTTGAGAAAGAAGATATTGATATCGTCTTAGAAAGAACCGTATTTTAAAAGTAACATTGGACTCTATAATTATTTTACTGCTGTTTCAATATTACAACTTTGTTTTTCCTTTATCTTTTAATACTGTTTTGAGCTCCCTTTCGATCCCAGTCTTAGGTGAAAAACCTAGATAACGTTGTGCCTTTTGAGTGAAAGTAAAAGAGTCCCTAAATTAGTCCAGAGCAGGATCTATCAGCCAGGGGACCCTAAGGGAATGAAAGAAGTTTGTACAGGTTCCTTTTCAATCACAAGAGATCATGATTGGGAAAAACATGTTTTTTGAGTGGTAGATATAATCATTTTTATGGACAGGCAAAATTTCAAGAGTTTAGTGAGTGAAAAGATTGAAAAGGGCTGGTCCAGAGAGTTCTCAGGGTGTCTGCCATCTTTGGGCTCTGATGTTCCATTTAGGATTCCACTTTAAAGCCTGTTAGATCTATCTTCATAGATGTTTTCGTTTTGCAAAGAGAACTGATCTATTCAACATATCCAGAAGAAAAGCTGGAAAACAATTCACTTGCTGCTTTTTCTTTCTTTCTTCAGTGCTAACAGGCGTGGAGGAAGGAGTTGTGAGAGATGTCGAAAACAAATAAATCCAAATCTGGGTCCCGTTCCTCTCGTTCGAGATCTGGGTCCCGCTCTCGCTCCCGGTCTTTTTCAAAGTCCCGGTCCAGGTCTCGGTCCGTTTCACGGTCGAGGAAACGGAGGCTAAGGTAAGATTGTGATGTTATATTATTGGATCCTTTAGTGTATCATGAAACCTTTACAAAAGGGGATTCTGCTATGGAAAATCTTTGATTCCAAATGACTGAATAATTTGTCATCTTAACTTACTTCTTTTGTTTGTCAGCAAGTTCTGTAACTTGCCATAAAAATGATTGAGGCATGGAAATATTAGTGTCTTAAAAAGTTTGTGCTTCTTGCATTGTGGGATGTATTGTTTCTCTTTGGATTTGGCATTCTGGATAATTTCGGCTGTTGGTCTGATTTGGAGGGATGCTGCGTGCGATTTTGTATGAACTTTTCTCTGTGCTTTGACAAGCATGATAAAATGTGTGCTGAAACTTTTTTTCTAGATTTCTATCTAAAGATTCCTGTGGCTTGATTTTTTTTCTTGGTATTTTTTTTCTTAGTATTTTTTTTCTTAGATGGGGCAGATGATAGACTGTCAGCCCTGTTGCCGCTTTGAAAATGATGCAGAGCACTGACCTTTGAAAATATCTCAGTAACGCTTCCATCCTGGTTTTCAGGCTGTGAAACTTGCAGTTTGTGTGCTCATTTAATCTTAAAACAGTTATGTTTCTGATGGATAGTTTAGCCTCAACTTACCTGGCAAGAGTTATGTGGTGGAACTAGTCACATATCTAGAAAGAAAGGTATATCTATCCTACTGAAGACTACGTAAGGGAATTGATTTTGTGATCTATTTATTTATTTATTTATTTTATTTGTATACCGCAGTTTCTCAGCCCGTAGGCGACTCAACGCGGTTAACAAGAGCAAAAATTCAATGCTAACAACATACACTATTCAAAAACAATTAACACCGTAATATACTAAGTAATTACACATCAATAAACAACACATTAACATCTCATAACTAGAATCGTGATCCAGCTCGTCATCCGTAATTCCGTTTTCCTATATTCATTATATTCATTGTACTATTTATCCAAAGAACTGATCTAGTTCTTTGCTCTACTTAAATTGGTCTCCTTTCCTTTTTTTCTTCAAAAAACAAAACCAGAGTTGAATAATCCTAGGACAAAGTGCAATTGAGCTGTGCATAGGCTTGCCTGCTTTTTGAGAACTTTTTGAGGCCCTGCTTAGATTTTTGCATTTGTTCTCTGCCTTGCTTATTTGCTTTTTAAATTAATTGTACTTTGTAAAAGGATCACAAAGATTCTGTGTTTTGTTAGGCTGGAGGCAGAAAGTGACTGCTAATAATTAGAGCGTGCGTTTTTTTGACCACGATACAGAAGGGCAACAGTAAAAATACACGGAGGAGGAGGAGGAGCAGAGAACTAAGCCAGATGGAGGAGAAAGGTTGAAACTTAAGCAGAGGGCAAAAGCATTAAGGAGGGACTGACTGTAGGCTGGGAATGTCCGGCTTCCTTCAGGAAAGCTGTAGCAAATGGAGAGCTAACCCAGAATGCAAAATGCCTGTTCTGGTGGGCAGCTGTTGGGGGAGATTTGGCTTTGCGAATGACTTGGCTGGAGACACAGAATGGATGGAGTTTGTATGTACGACGCATTGAGCACGAGCATAGTTAACTCACAGAGGTATGTTTGCTTTCTTACGGAACACACAGTTGTGGGCCTGAATGGCGAGGCAGAGGGGGAAATAAGCTGCAGCAAGTGGTTGCTTTTGGAGAGCCGGCCAAGGAGAACAATGTGGCTTGTGTCGCAATTATATCTCTCTCTCTCTCTAGGGAGTTTCCTTTGGGTCTGCTTCAGCTCAAGGCAGTCCGTTCAGTTCTTTGCAGGCAACAGTTGCTTTTTTCATGCTCTTTTTTTTTTCATCAGAGGAGTGGTGTTCAAATTTATCTGGGGTTTGTGGGAAATGAGAACACCTGTCCTGCTCATTTTGCAACGTCTTCTGCATCTCGACTGGGTCCTTCTGTACAAACAGTCTCCACAGTTCCTTGATGTGAAACCTCGTCAGAGTTTTAGTTGGCAGGAATGGATTGTGGAAGGAGCAGCAAGCAGGTCCCTCGGCAGTAATTGATAGCAAAGCGCAGCCGCTGCCTGGGGCCTGGCTCTTAGCTTTGGGCTTTTGGACCACCCCGTAATTGGTTCATTTTCCCTGCCTGCTTTAGGCAGCGTGCATGTCTTTTCACTCTTACGTTGCTGAAAGTGTTTGTGAATGAGGCAGCATCCAAGGTAAGGATTATCCTTGTCCTCCCCCTCAACAATGGTCATGGCAAGGCAGAGTTGTACCAAATTTAGGTTTTGCATGTAAAAGATGGCTCATTCCAGTTTGTTGGGTTTCTGCGATAGCTCTTCATCCGTGTATCTTTTTATAAGCTTTGCCATTTGGCCTATTTTGATGGCTTGTGGCTCTCCGGGGCATGAGTTTAAGATACTGCTTCTCCACATCACTTGGAGGGCATTGTCTTGTCCGGCATTCATAGTACATAGTGGGATTTTAGCAACTTTGTTTCAGCTTGTGTGTTACAGTTGTATCTTGCTTTCTTTGATGAGGTTACATGGGCCTTTTGTTTTCCATTCTCTATTAACAGCAACCTACAAAGGTAGATAAATGCAAGTGCTTAACAGGTCTAGGTTTACTCACTTAGCTTTGTGACCAAATAGGGATTTGAATATGTTTTCTCCAGTCCTTGTCTGACTGTCCAACTGTACCGGCGCCCGGTGGATTTTGGCATTTTTAGGAAAAGAAAGGCAGTTGGACTTACCACATGTAGAATGGCCCTCAGACATCCTATACTTATGGCATGCGTTTTTTTCTAAGCCTCTAGTCTACCTCTTTTGCTGTAGCACACACATTCTAATATTTTTATCATACATAACTCTACATACCAAGAAGTATATGTTCACCACAGTAAGTCTGCAGAGAGTGAGTTTTTGTCCTGGAGTCAGAAGGTTGATCTTTATTTTGAAGTGGTTTCTCATTAACCTTTTTTCTTTCCCCAGTTCCCGGTCCCGTTCGCGGTCATATTCCCCATCACACAACCGGGAGAGGAGCCACCAACGGGTCTATCAGAACCGCGATTTCCGGGGCCACAACCGTGGATACCGCAGGCCCTACTATTTCCGTGGGAGGAACCGCGGCTTCTACCCATGGGGCCAGTATAACCGAGGCGGCTATGGGAATTACCGCTCCAACTGGCAGAACTACCGCCAGGCCTACAGCCCCCGCCGGGGCCGCTCACGTTCCCGATCACCCAAGCGGCGCTCTCCATCCCCGAGGTCCAGGAGCCGCTCCAGGAATTCCGACAAGTCTTCTTCTGACCGGTCGAGGCGGTCTTCCTCCTCGCGCTCCTCCTCGAACCACAGCCGAGGCGACTCCTCCAAGCGTCGCTCCCTGAAGGAGAAGAAGGCCTCTTCCAAGGAGGGCCGGGCCTCTCAGGGTGGCGGTGACAACCAGGAAGATGACGGCAAGGAGCAGCCTTTCTCTGGGGGAGCGGCCCAGGATGCGAAATCCTCAGAGGCATCTAAGGCCTGGCAGGAGGTGGGCACCTATGGCACGGGTTCGGTCACAAGGGAGCTTAGCCCGAAGGAGCGCAGCCCGGCCCTGAAGAGCCCCCTGCAGTCGGTGGTGGTCCGGCGCCGCTCCCCCCGGCCCAACCCTCTCCAGAAGCCCAGCCCCACTACTTCCAACCCGCCACTGGGTTCCGGCCTGCAGAGCAGCGGCTTTCAGGGAGGCTCTCACCCCTTTGAGCATGGTCTTGGAGGTCTGAGCCCCACGAGGAAGAGCCCCATGAGCAAAAGCCCCACAATCATCAGCTCCATTTATGGAAGCTCTCAGAAGGAGGAAATGGGGGCCGCCTTCTCCAAGAGGCAAGTAGTCCTGATCCCTGGAACTAGGTGGTGCTTCTGTGTGGCTTTTGGTTGTTGCATAGCTTGGGTTGTCATTTAGATCAGCTATAGGGATAAATTAATTTTAGGACAATCAAGCTTTTGGGTGGAGAAACCTTCTCTAAAGACAACAAAGAGCAGGATTCAGTGACGTATGAAGCAAATTGCACACTGGACTGAATCCCGGCTCTAACCTAGTAATACTTCCATAACTATACCCAGTAGACCCATTTTAATGAAAAGGGTTTGTTAGTCTCCATGCATATAAAATGGATCTATTCCTCCCAGATTTTCTTAGTGCCCGTTGAATTCAATAAGACTCAAGCCATGATTAACGATTCTCACTGATGTAATCAGAACCTAGCAGAACTGACTTTGGTTGGACGTGTCCGACTTTCTATTTCTTTGTTCTCTTCCTAATTGCTCAGAAGTCTGCAAGAAAAAAACATACAGTTAAAATAAAAATGACCAAATGATTGGCAATAGTGAGTTTTCTGAAAGTGTTTTGCCACCCTCACTCAGTGGAAATCTCTTAGTTATGAAAAGTGTTAAAGGGTGCTATGTTAATTTTATGTGCTGTAGCAATTATCAGAAAATATAGCTGGGTTGAAGCATTTGTATAGGAAGATGAAATCTATGAAGGATGATGAGTATGGTTTTGGTGTCATATTCAAAACTTTATTGGGTTTTTAAAAAACTATTTAGAATAATTGAGACCTAAAAACAGCAGAAGTGTAATTGTTTCTGAGATTGAGAAGATTAGCTAAGGCAGCCAGGGAAAAGACTTGTGCAGTTAATTGCTTGTGCCGCCTAGGGATCATTGCATGGAGTATTAATTACAAATTTCATTTTATTCTTGATTGGCATTGTATCCCTTCCCTGATTTGACTTGCATATATTCAGTGGACTGTTTCAGACACAGCTAACATTGAATAATAGCTAGGGTTCCATGTATTCACTGTGGCAAGGCTTTGGCTTGTGTCCAAGGAGAAGGTTGGGACTGTCCACTTCTTGCTTCAAGAGTCAAAGCCTCCTTTGCTGAATCAGGATTATTGAATGAGCGAGGCTCATACGATACACTTTGGCCCTGGCTTATTTGAACCCTGTCTTTTCAAGTCTTGGGGGATTTCTGGTTAGTTTAATATTGATAGGAGAAGCTGATCATGTTGTCCAAGAAAACAGCCCATGGGAATTTTGTATGAATGTAGTGGTAGCTCCAGGTGGTGCAATGGGTTAAACCCTTGTGCTGGCAGGTCAGCAGTTCGAATCCGTGGAGAGCGGGTTGAGCTCCCTCTGTCAGCTCCAGCTCCCCATGTGGGGACATGAGAGAAGTCTCCCATAAGGATGGTAAAACATTGCACATCTGGGTGTTCCCTGGGAAACATCTTTGCAGACAGCCAATTCTATCACACCAGAAGCAACTTGAACTTTCTCAAGTCGTTCCTGACAGACAGACAGACAGACACACACACAGCTCCAACTAGAGTGGACCAGTTGAATCAGTGGGACTTCAGTAAGTCACATTCCGATTGATTTAGTGGCTGTACGTTGGGAGTATCACTTGGATTTAGGCCCATGAAAAGAGCATATAGCATGGCATGCATCCTTTAAAAAAAAGATTGCATTCAGGAATGGTTTGGGTTTCTGTTGTCATGATAGTTAGAACTATTTATTGATTAGTTCACTGACCATATCAACAATAAAAGACTGAAACCAAAAAATACACAGACAAATAAACACTAATCACTATCCTAAAACTCCTCCGATAGTTAACTAAAATAAATTAAAACATGGTAAAACTTGATTAAATAATAGCTTTGGTAAAATGGAATTAAGTTACAAGTTGAAAGCAGGGCAAGTAGAGTGGCAAGTGTAAAAGTATCAGACAGAGAATTTATATAAGTTCATCAGCATGTTGTCTTGGTAGTTTTGCACATGATTTATTTCTATTAGACATCGCCTCCCTGAGAGATATGTCCCTCTGGATATATGAGTATTAGTATGAGTATCTATATTATCTATATTAGTATTAGTATGAGTATCTGTAAATAGATTAAATATGGAGTAGAAAAACAAATCCAGTTGTGGCTACTGGTTTTGGTGGCCAAAGTGGTAGGCTCTGATTTTGAATGTTTGCCATATATTTTGGAAACCGCCCTGAGTCCCTTCGGGGAAATAGGGCAGCCACAAATAATAATAATAATAATAATAATAATAATAATAATAATAATAATAATAATGGGGCTGTTAGGAAAATATCTTACTGCAATGCACTGTTTTGGCTGAAGGCTGAATGCTGAGTTAAAACATTCCTCCTCTTTCTGGCTCCCTTTGAAGAGGAAAGCATTGCTTTTGTGTTACCGGAATAAAGATGGCTGCTGCTTTATATACCAAAGCTCAGTTCTAGCTCAGCTGTAACATCAAAGCTACCTGTCAGCTTTGCAGACTTCTAGGAACAAAGATGTTCCATGACACTACCTTTGAGACCAAATCAGTATTTGAATGCACAGCAGCCCAATATTTCTGTTGTTTTTCTTCAACCTACCATCAGTTTTTGATATATGAAGTTCAGTCTCACTTTTCCAAAACAGTTCTCAAGCACCTTCAATCATTTACATGAATTTTTAGAAATGACTATCACAAAAAACCAATATGACTAATTTCTAATTATTTTGTGCTTAATAAAGTCAAAGTATCTGGAAAATAGAAGACCACATTGTAGATGGATTGGATCTATAAAGGAAGCCAAGCCCTGAGTTTAGAAGATCTGAGCATAGCTGGTAGTAACAGGATTTCTCAAAAGTCCCTCTTGCATAAAATTGCCATATTTGAGGCTTATAGACATAACATAGCAAGTCATTTTCTCCTAGTGCTCGCTCCCACTTTTCAGGAGTCAGCCTAGATGTTTAGGTGCCAATACCTGCCCACTGATTTTTTAAAAATAGGCTTAACTGCTGTCATACTGCTGCTCTTCCATCCTTATCTTGCCATGTTGTTCACTGCTAGCTATAGATAAAAATCTCTTACTATCAGTTCCCATTGGGAATTGAGAGTCTTGATGACGTTGCTGACTATTCATGTTCCTCCCAACCAATCCAGTGTTTCCCCCTGTTAACCTTTTTGCTTTTATTTGTGTTTTGAATCGTCTATAGCTTCCATAGGAGACTTTCCTCCAAAAAAAAATATTGACGTAGCTTTTGAGGCTTTTATTCCCACTGTGTGTTACTTAAAAGCACAACAGCCCAAGGTGTGAGAATATTGATGGGCAAAGTCTCTACAAGCAGGTTTGTAAGTGAATGCACAGGCTGGGTAAGACCTTTTACGTATTTCCTGCCTTCTAGCTGTGCCAAGTCGCTTCCAAAGCACCTGTTTATCGGTTTTATTGAGCTCTGTGAGATCTCGAAATTGCATTATAAAAGAGCTGAAAGAAGAAGAGATGGAATAAACAAAACAATGACTTGATGTCCATTATCACGAGGATCTTCTGAAAGCTACTTGATCTAAACTGTCAGAGTAACAGTCCTTGATTTCTTGTCTTACCTTTCTCCTTCTGCATCTAGATACTTAGAAGAGCAAAAGAACGAGAATGGGAAAGATAAGGAGCAGAAACTGGCCAATGTGGAAAAGGAAAAAATGAAAGAGAAGGGAGGTTTCTCAGAGATGGGATTATCGGACAGCAAAGGGAAACTGGATCCATACACTTCCAAAGCCGACGCGGAAAAGATGTACCGTGGAAGCCAGTCCCCCAAACGTTATAAGCTGCGGGAGGACTTTGAGAAGAAGATGGCCGAGTTCCACAAGGAGCACTATGGCAAGGAGGAGGCGGATGAGATGGAGAAAAAGGCCAAGGGCAAAGGGCGAAAGGAGGCCAGTTTCGAGGAGGATGAGGACGAGGATGAGCCGCCCCGGTTCCTCTCCAAGACAGTGTCAACTTCCAGCAAGAGCCAGGAGGAAGAGCGGGGAGGGAAGTGGGAAGGCCTGGTCTTCCTGCCTCCTACCAAAGAGAAGCAGCGGAAGACGGAGGAAGCAGAGGAGGAGCCCTACGGGGAGTCCTCCAAGAAGGAGGAGCGGCAGGCAGGCAAGAGGGCGGATCCTGGGCATAGGGGATTCATCCCCGAGAAGAACTTCCGGGTCACGACCTACAAAGCGGGCCAAGAGAAAAGCAACACCTCCCCTCCTCCAAGAAAGGCCTCCACCGAAGGCAGGGAGAAGCCTGGCACTAGGGGAGAGGGTCTGGCCTCAGGGAAGTCCTCTTTCTCCATCACCCGTGAGACCCAGGTCAACCTCCGCATGGATTCCTTCGATGAGGATCTTGCTCGGTGAGGGGCTCACCTGGTCTCCACAAAAGGGAAAAGGACTAAAGGGAGGGGGGCATGGCTTTCTACTGTAATGCACCCTCCGATCTCTCAGAAGTCCTTTAGAGCCGCCGCAAACTAGCGTCTTGGGAGAGCAAACTGCCAGCACGACCGATGACGTCGAAGACTCCGCCTATTTCTCCGTGCCTGCGTGGTTTTCCCTTTGCTAGGGCAGCGATGCGAGCGTACTCTCGCTGTTGAATTCTGTGAACAGCGAGAGTACGCTCGCATTGCTGCCCTAGCAAAGGGAAAACCACGCGGGCACGGAGAAAGAGGCGGAGAAAGAGACGGAGTCTTCGACGTCATCGGTCGTGCTGGCACAGTTTGCTCTCCCAAGACGCTAGTTTGCGGCAGCTCTTAAAGAGAATCGGCTCAGAGCCCTTCCCTTCCCAAAACAATAAAATAGGAAACTCTGTAAGCATGTCTTCAGAGGTCACTTAGTAGCAGGGATTAGTACAGGCATGGGAAAATGTGGGTGTTTTGGACTTCAACTCCCACAATTCCTAACACCCTCAGGGCCTTTCCCCCTCGGTTTAAGTGACTGAGGGGGAAAGGGGGCCTAGGGCTGTTAGGAATTGTGGGAATTGAAGTCGAAAACACCTGGATGGAAGGCCCAGTTTGCCCACATCTAGATTAGTCCCCAAATACATGCAAATAAACAATATCCAATACAGAGCTAGATAAAGCAAAGTGGCTGGAGCTGCAGTCTCTCTATGGAAGGAGAATTCATTGGTCTTTAAAAGTGTACTTCATGCTCTAAGGGGAAGCTTGTATCGTATCTAGTTTTGCTTTGTTTATCACTCATAGAAAAATATTGCATTCTCGAAGCACAGAGTTCTCTAATAAAGTCTAGAGGCCTTGTCCTCTTTCTACTTTCCATCCAGACTGGATTGGAATGGTGATCTAGCTCCACAACATGAAATGTGAAATTGAATTCTAGCCATCCATATCCATAACCATGGTTTGGAAGAGTTAGGAACAAGCAGTGAAAACTATATTAGCAGTAATGTGTGGTTTAGCCTAAAAAATAAATTGGTTCCTGGCATTTAGGTGAATCTATCTTGCATCTGTAATTGGTTGCAAGCAAAGTAATGAGGCTACTGCTATGTCTTATGACTGTTGACATGGCTGTTAAAGCATTGTCTGTCTCTGCTCCATATACAGCCCCAGTGGGATCTTGGCCCAGGAACGCAAACTGAGCCGCGACCTAGTGCATAGCAGCAAGAAAGAGCAGGAGTTCCGTTCCATTTTCCATCACATCCAGTCGGCCCAGTCTCAGCGGAGCCCCTCTGAGCTGTTTGCACAGCACATCGTGACCATTGTCCACCATGTCAAAGGTGAGTGGTGTGAGAGGCGAGGGTCGGAGAGTAGGTAAGCTGTGGCTTGGCACTACCCTGCTTCGTCACTGATCTGTGGCAGATGGGATCACAGTGGGCTCCGTGGTCGACTTTTCCTTCTTTTTGCTGTGTCCTCTTTCGGTGTTATCCTCCAGAGTAGCCAGAGTAGGATTTGCTTACTATTTCAAGAATTCTGGAATGGTCTATTTTGACCTTCTTTTGGGGGTTTACCGTTTGCTCCACTTCCAGAGAGAGTGGGCTGACTCAAAGAGGCCAGTTGGCAACTATTAAGCCATCTCCCCCGTTCCCTGGTGAACTCGGCTGAATTGTAAACAAGAGGAGGACCAGACAGAAAAGGAAAATGTTTTTTTCCACCCATAGAATCGTTTGCCAGAGTCTTTTCTTTGGAATCTTGGATGCCCTGCCCCAGCTGCGCATGAAATGTGAGCTTGGTGGTTCTGCCATTATTATGGAGACCAGGAATCTACAAAAGAGGTTTGCAGTAAATGAGAAAGGAAACCTTGGCCTCTATTCCTATCTAGGAGGTCATTTGCTCCTAAGTGCCATTAGGAAAGTGGGATTGCCCTGCAAATGATATGCACATGATATGGGCTCCTTCCTATATAATATCTCTCTATTCAAGCAGGATGGCTTAAAAATGAAGGGCAAGATCCACTTTACCTGAAGATATAAACAGTTCAGAAACAGGATGGATAGGAGAATGGCATGAAGTAGCATTGGGTTATTTTGGTATTCAGTAGATTCAACTGTCTTGGACACTGGCTGCTTAAGGGCTGTTGAATTTCTTATTTATTGAAAGGAAAGGGAACAGGGCTCCTCTCTTTCTCTTTCTCTCCTTTCTTCACCTTTTCATCTATTGTTTGCTTCCTGAATCTGTTGCAGACCTTCTTGCAGAGCTCACTTTTATGTTGCCCAAAGTCCAAAAGCAGTATATTAATAATGTGGTATTTCCTCAACACAAATGCAGAGCATCACTTTGGCTCATCGGGAATGACGTTGAATGAACGTTTTACAAAATACCTAAAGCGAGCAGAGCAGGAGTCAGCTAAGAACAAAAGCCCTGAAATCCACAGGTGAGTAGCGGGCAGCAAGAAGGCATGGTTCCCAAAAAGTGAAGGAGAACTCGAGTCTTCGCCCCAAAGCCCTGTAGGTGCTCTCTCCTGAGTTTCAGGTCATAACCTTTAGAATCTAAGAAAGACTTGGGAAGACTTGGTGGGTGTTAAGCAGGATGCAGTGGCCAGGTCGCTACAGAGCTTGCAGGCCCTGAGTTATGTTGGGCGAGTAGGCTTATTAACAAAAGATCTTCCTCATAAATGCACAGCAGAGTAACTTAGCAGTAGCGTGACCAAGCACCAGTAGCCCAAAGTGATGAAAAGGACAAAAACACATAGCCCAATATTATCTCTTCCATTTGAGCCTGTTATTTATAGCAAAATAATATGGTTGCACTCTTTACAAAAACAAGGTTTCCATAACATAAATAACGTTCAAACTCCACATTGGAGCTTCACGCACGAGGCCTTCTCATATCGAGGTCTACCCCACACTCTGAGGCCGCTCTCCCACAATGAGGCCTATTACCACTGAGACCCATTCTCCCACTGAGGCGTTCTCTCACACAGAGAGGCTTCTCTCACACTGAGAACTCTCTCAGGCTGGGTCGTTACTAAGCAACATGCACACCTTCATTTATTGAACTACAGCTTTTGCTGAGTCAATGCATCCATTTAACCCTTTTAGTGCTTAACTCACATTTTTGTAATTAAAAGTACTAATATTTCTGACCAGTTATGCATCACATTTGCAGTCTTTTTTGGGGAGCAGGTTTAAGTCATAACCAAATGAGGGAGTCATTGCTTTGGTGCAACAAGAAGCATTTTCCAGTTACTTGCCAAAAAGTATTTTTAACCTGACATTAGCTGATTCTTTGCTCTTCCTTTATTGATCCTCTGTTTTAAAAAAAAGTAATGGAAATTATTAAATATTTGGGAATAAAAACATGTATTCCAAGTATTGAGAACCCCTAAGAGAAGAATCCTAGACTTCATTTATCCTCCATTAAAAAAAACCAGTGGAAAGTATTAAATATATGGTATAAAAATATCCCCTCAAAATATTGAAAAACATTCTGGGAAGCTGGAGTGTAACCCTCCAAGCCTTGCTCATATAAATTGGTGCTTTTAGAGTCAATGCATTGGGACTGAAGTCTGTTTTGCTCATTATATAAATACCAAAAGAAGTGGTGTTTCCATGGCATTTTCTTAACCCTGCTGTGCCTTTTTTGTTTTTAGGAGGATAGACATTTCCCCGAGTTCTTTTAGAAAACATGGATTCTCTCAAGAGGAGACCAAAAGTTCCAAAGAGCCCAGCTACAAGGTGAACTGTTACTCTCGATCTATAGTTTAAATACATATAACGTATATATGCTTGAGGCATGAACCTTTTATTTCTATATGTGTAAATATATATCTATAAATATATATAAAAAAGTGATATATTTTTTCGTTTCACTTGCTCTCTACTTAAGTTTGTGTTTTTCTTTCAAGGATGGGCATAATTCTAAAAATGAACTACAAAGGGTTAATTTTTAATAAAAAAAATGTATCAACAACCTTTGTGAAGTGGTTAGAAATATGGTATAAAAAAAAAAAGATCCCCAAAGTCAATTGAGGTTGAGCTTGAGACAAAAAGAGTGGATTTTTGGAAACAAGTGACCTTGATGATGGAAGAGGCTTTTTGTGATATTTTGCTGCTTGTAAGTATGACTCAATACCTTGTCTTTCCGTGATATTTCCAACCGTGTTTTCAGACAGACAGACAGACAGACAGAGGTGCATGTCAGGAAAAGAGGAGTAAAGCACAGCTGTATCTGAGCCAAACACAGAGATAATACATATTTTTTTTGCTCCTAATGTGTTACATACTGTTGAATGTTGTCAAGAATTATTAAAAATATGACACACTTGGGAGTATTTCACACTGAAATGTTTATAAGCCCCATGGGCACATTGTTCGCTATTTTTTCAAGCCAAACCAAAAGAAAATGGAAAAACTCATTGAATTTAAACACTAAATGTTAATGTACGTTTTGGACAGTGCTGCCAAAGTGTTTCCATATTATGCCTGTATTACATTGCTTGTTAGTTTTGAAAGGTAAAATAGCCGTATCTCTGTTCTGTGACCTTATCTCTGTTCTATACTATCTCCAGTGCGTGCAGGTGAGTAAATGCGCATAAATACTCCCATGTTTAGCAGGTTTATTATTTGTCAAGATAAGTCTTAAGATGAAAAAGAACTAAGCAAATTAATGCCTATTAACTGCCTGGGATTTGCCAGCGGCTCTTCATGGCAAGCCGGTGTCTGTTGTGGTGTTACCAGATGAAAACTTTGTGTTCTCCATGAAAAGAAAAGAGTTCTCCTTCATGTTTGGGAGTCAAAGAGAACCAACAGAGCTCACAAAAACCAACTCCTGTAATAATGGAAACCACCCTTTAAGACTTGTATGAGAAAGACTTTTGAAAGAGAGCTGCTGGTGGCTTGCCTTTAAACTGAAGCAAAACTGACGGCTATATCTGAACTGAAAGTGACTGTGTAAAATCAAGAGATCCTGCGCATCCACCTTTTTGGTAGAGGAAGCAAAGAGACATGAAACAACCTTTTAAAAGTGCATTTTTAGTCCTTGCGCGACCTCCTAAAAGCTATTCTTCTTTCTATCTTATCCCTTCCTTGCCACTTAAAACATACAAATTAATATCAGTGTTGGGAAAATAAGTATTGGATTATCATGTATAGTCATTGCATGTTTGGGAGGAGGAATCTGATTCTGTACTTAGAGAACTGTGACACCATGGCTCAGAGCACAAAAGTCAGCGCCCAATGCAAGCTATCTTTCAGAATAGTTTGAACATGTCCTGCAGAGGCTACAAATAGTGGGACTAGTAAAGAGTGAGTAGGGAAGAGTTGACTGTGCCATAGTTGTACAGGAGAAGCAAGGAGCTCTTAGTCGAAACAGAGAGTACTTGAACTCCAGCCAAATCTGGCTCCCTTTGGCTTTGGAGCTGTCAGTGACAGGTGCATTTTGAACCTTTTCTCCCTGCTGCCGAAGTGCAAGTAACACGATGCTAAGTTTGTGCTTACTGTGCAGAGCCTTGAGTCTTGAGAGGTGAGACTGAGCACGAAGCAAGGCTGCAAAGTGGTGGTTCAGGACAGGAAGACTACAAGGCCTGCTCCCCACGTAAATATTCAGGAGGCCAGGAAAAATTAAACTATCCGTAGCATTTTTACGGACAGTAGCTCTTTAGAGGCCTAGCAGGATCGTTTCTTCCTTTGCTGGATGGCTGGGACCTTGATGCTGGCTTTGTTCCCTTTGTTCCGTTGAATAATGACTTCTATCTGGCACACAAGAAGTGAACGCAGTATTTGGGATCTATAGCAGAGCAGAGTGCCGCATAGCCAGTTCTATATATGAGCTTATGGTCAGAAACAGGAGAGATAATTCACAGGTAAGGTTTGCAAAAAGATAAACAGTTTTATTGTTGAGGGCAATTACTTCTCAAATAAAAAAGTAGATAGCCAAGAGAAAGTTACCTAATGTCTGTGTATCAAGCATCTTAAGGAAGAGAGATATCTCATTCTGCTCCTTCTTTGAAGGCTTTTAAACAGGCTGGATGGCCATCTGTCGGGGGTGCTTTGAATGCAATTTTTCTGCTTCTTGGCGGGGGGTTGGACTGGATGGCCCATGAGGTCTCTTCCAACTCTATGATTCTATGCTCCCTTCTCACACAAAGAACCATAGAGCAGGGTTGCTGTGAGATTTCCGGACTCTATGACCATGTTTCAAAAGCATTCTTTCTTGACATTTGCTCACAACTATGGCAGGCATCCTCAGGTTGTGAAGATGCCTGCCATAGATGCGGGCAAAATGTCAGGAGAGAATGCTTCTGGAACATGGCCATGCAGCCTGGAAAACTCACAGCAACCCAGTGATTCCGACCATGAAAACCTTCGGCAACAAAAGCCATAAAGGGCTTTGGGCAAAATGGGGGAAGAGACCTCTTCAGACAGGAAGCAAAACACCTTGAGATACATAGATCTAGGAAACAGATGAAACAAGTCAGCAGGACTGTTCCACAGAGTTCCCTCTGTCCCTCATGGCTTTATATCCAAGTGTTGGTGTTTTGTCACTTCTAACGCAGTGGAAGTGTCTTCCTCGTTGCAAAGTGTATCATGACACCGACCTGACTTTTCCCACTGAGGCCTCTCCAGTCCTGAGGAATGTTAGGATGCTGTGATGGTGAAGGAATAGCTGGAGGTCCAGGCATGAAACCTTTTCTCCCTGTCCCTCTCCTTCCAGGCTGAAAGCAAATATAAGGATGACCCGGTTGACCTCCGCCTTGATATTGAGCGGCGCAAAAAACATAAGGAGAAGGACAGGCGGGGCAAGTCCAGGGAATCGGTGGACTCCAGGCCCTCGAGCCATTCGCGGGAGCGGTCAGCGGAGAAGGCGGAAAGGTCTCACAAAGGGTCCAAAAAGAAGTATGTGCAAGAGGAGTTGCCTCGTACTTTGTTATATGTGTTCCATAGGATGGTTGGCTGCTGACAGAAGCATCTGATCATGAACTGAATAGAAGAAACAGCATGGCACCGCAGTCTAGGATGCTGCAAATGGTAGGCTGTTGGAGGAGGCCTCTCCACATTGAGCCTCCTTTAAATTTGGAGGAAGGAGCGCCTGAAGTTTGTTGGTATGTGTCCATACCTCCTGTGTGTCCAGGAAGCTGCAGCGTCTCCCAAGGAGTGCCAGAGATAGAAGTCGATTCTGGGGACAGGAGGGTAATGTAGGGTTCATTTTTGTTCACGACAGACCTGTTTGCCTAGTCTGTTGGTACCAAGCACCACCTCATGTGTAAATGTGGGCCTTTTGGGAATGAATATTCTCCAATGAAGCCTGTAGCAGGTGGGCCAGATGTATTTCTGGGTCTTCGGAGCAGCCTTCTCATTGAGTGACCCATTATCAGCTCCCATAGATGGCCAGCTGCAGGTGGAAGGGGCACATTGGGATTGGCACATTGATTCTCGGTCCCTTTGTGTTTGCGATGCAAATACTGCTGGGGCACAACGGCCAAGAGGGGAGTGCATTTGGGTTGTGCAGCACCACAACCTTTCCAGATGTAAAGGGAAGCAGGAATCTCACTACCTCTGAGGATGCTTGCCATAGATGCAGGCGAAACGTCAGGAGAAATGCCTCTAGAACATGGCTCTATAGCCCGAAAAAACCCACAAGAACCTAATCTGGAAAGAATTGCCAGTGCCATTAATACTGGGTTTCCTAAGGATGCTGATTTCTAGGCAGCTAAAGCATAATTATGAATGGGTTATGTATCCATTTCTGACAGATAGCTTAGATATGGCTAAGCAGAAGTCTGGCTGCTCCTGACTGACCTTTCTCTTTTCTTTTTCCTTTCTTTGTCCTGGCTCAGGAAGCACCGCCGTGTCCGGGAGCGCTCTCGATCCAGCTCTTCCTCCTCTCGGTCCTCACGTTCCTACAAGGCGGAGGAGTACCCCGAGGAGGCCGAAGAGCGAGAGGAGCCTGCTCCACCCGGTTTTGACAAGTCCCGCCTCGGCACCAAGGAGTTTGCTGGCCCCAGCGATAGGGGCAGAGCCCGGGGGACCTTCGTAAGTAGCCCTTCCAGGGAGCGAGGGCAAAGGGCTGGGGTGGCAGCTGTGGGCTTCCCTTCATTCTTGTAAGGGTTTGAAGAGCCAGGCCTTTCAGGAAGAGGCTTTTCTCTGCACATCTTGCAATGGCTGCCTACCTACCCAACCCTTTGCCTATTTAGAGAAATGGGGCTAATTCAAGTAAAACATGGTTGAAATAAAACATGAGGGAAATGAGTTGTCATGAAATTTTGTGAGGGTTTAAGGCAGTGCTTCTCAACCTTCCAAATGCCGCGACCAATTAATACAGTTCCTCATGTTGTGGTGATCCCCAACCATAAAATTATTTTCGTTGCTACTTCATAACTAATTTTGCTACTGTTATGAATCGTAATGTAAATAACTTATATGCAGGATGTCTTTTCATTCACTGGACCAAATTTGGCACAAATGCCTGATACGCCCACATTTTAATACTGGTGGGGTTGAGGTTGATTGATTTTGTCATTTGGGAATTGTAGTTGCTGGGATTTATTGTTAACCTACTATCAAAGAGCAAAATACTGGAAGGGTTTAGTGGGCATTGACCTTGCGTTTGAGAGTTGTAGTTCACCTACATCCAGAGAGCACTGTGGACTCAAACAATGATGGATCTGGACCAAACTTGGCATGAATCCTCAATATGCCCAAGTGTGAACATCAGTGGAGTTTGGAAAAAATAAACCTTGGCATTTGGGAGTTTTAGTTGCTGGGATTTATAGTTCGCCTACAGTCAAAGAGCATTCTGAACCCCACCAGCAATAGAATTGGGCCAAACTTCCCACACAGAACCCCCATGATCAACAGAAAATACTGTGTTTTCTGGTGGTCTTCGGCAACCCCTCTGACACCCCCTCACTACCCCACAGGGGTCCCGCCCCCCAGGTTGAGAAACGGTGGTTTAAGGTGAGGTTGAGAAGAACCTTGTAACCTGCATCCAGTTTTAAAACTTACTAAAACAACAGATTCAAAGTCCTCCCCTGAGATCAGTAGCAGACCAGTGGCCCCTGATTCATTCCAAATACTTCAGTCTGGGCAACTTCACAGTTAGAATCATACAGTTGAAAGAGACCCCCAAAGGCCATAAATTCCAATCCCCTTCTGCCAGGCAGGAAGACACCATCCAAGCCCTCTTGACAGATGGCCATCCAGCCTGTTTAAATGCCTCCAAAAAAAGAGCCTATGTTACCTGTAAAGTTCCATCCCACCTCATTCATGGAAGTGTTGAGCAGCATTTAGGTAGCTTTGTTGGGATTCAGTTCCCTCTTGGTTTGAGCAGCTTGCATCAGACCTTCTGAAGGGGCACAGACCTTGAACCAAGAAGGAAGAGGAGGCTATCTTCCCAGCCAGCACACCAACCTTTCTCTCTCATGACGCCAAGCAGCAGTTCCGGGCCAGGGGCCGTGGCTGGGGAAGAGGCACCTTTTCCGGCAACAGCAACAACAACAACAGCAGCAGTGGTGGTGGAGTTGGTGGTGGCAGTGGTGGAGTTGGCGGCAGCAGCAGTGGGGTTGGAGGCGGTGTGAGCACCGACTTCCAGAAGCGGCCCCGAGAGGAGGAGTGGGACCCCGAGTACACACCCAAGAGCAAGAAATACTACTTGGTAGGTGCGCTGGAAGCGGAGGGGATTTGGCCACTGCTGGGTGTAGGGCTGTCTTGTGGAAAGATCGCACTGGTGTGGTTTGGGTTCTGTGGACCCTTCAGTTGGACACCTTGGCAGCTGTCTTGACCCTTGAGGATTGATACGCACACAGTGGGCCTCTCCCAGGGCAGTCTTGTGGGCTAGATCTGCACTGCACAGTGATAACAGTGTTGAGGTTTGGTGCCCTGCCCCCAAACACCTAGTATCCCAATCAGATACTAGAGACGAGATTAAAATACAATAGATTTATTCTGGTCAGAGCAAAGCCACTGGGCGTACAACAGGAAAAATAGTGCCACAAGGCTGAGATGTAACTTGGCCCTTTTATTGTAGAGCTTTCTAAAATTTCTAAACATGCATATTTAAGCCTTTCCCCCCGATCACACCCCCAAGTTTCCATCCAATTCAACCCCTGCTTGCCAGACAGGAAAAGCACCATGAAATTGGGAACACTTTGATGGCCATAGTGCCTTTCTGTAAAGCCCTGGGATATATATTTTCGTTACTACTGTGAAAGAGAGCACTTGCACTTGATTGAAGATGATAAGAATGTGGTAGATAACAGGATGAGGGAATAAAGGAGTAAATTATAAGATGGTGCTGTGCAAGTTACTCCCTTGGTAAGCAGCCTCTCCCCTGACTAAAGAGAATGGCACAGGATGGGAGCCATTGGAGTTAAAATATCCAACTGATACAGCTATGGTCCACAATCAATGACACAGCACTGTACTTTCATCCCATGCCCTGGGACTATCCCATTCCCTTGTCTTGTTTACAGTTTGGCCATGCCGTACGGTAGTTGTTACCATAGGTCGTTGGGCATTGTTCTGAGTTGTTTTTATATGTTATAGTTTTTTACTTTATTGTATTGTACTATGTGTTTATTTTATGCTTTGTCTTGGCACATTGTGCCATATGTAAGCCACCTTGAGTACCTTCGGGGAGATGGAGGCATGGTACAAAAATAAAGTTATTATTATTATATTATATATACTTACCCTGTACACTCACTAGTGCAAAAGTCGGCCTGATGTATAAGTTGATGGCATGTTTGGAGACCAAAACTATGGATTTTAATAGGACCAGTGGATACGTTGAAGGTCATTGCACAGAGAGGAGGGGAAGCACCAGTGCCCTCTCACAGGCCAGCCACCATTTCCTGGCCTAAATGTTCAAAAAGGCCCCATAGCACAGAGAGTAGAGGAGGTCCATGCTTCTTAAAGTTTCTCCCAGGACAGACTGAGTTCTTGTCTTTTGCTAATCTGCTCAGAAAAGGGGTTAAGGTACAGCACTCACATTGACCCATGGATAAGTCGACCCAGATTTTGGGGGTTGATTTTTTTGACTGAAGAGTGTATAGAAAGGATGTCTGGGAAACGGACAGAGATGGAAAGCGCTTAGATAACTCCACATGTGCTGCAGACCAAGATTGTCCCCTTTCTTCCTTTCTTCTGTTTGTAGCATGACGACCGCGAGGGCGAAGGCGGGGAGAAGTGGGGCAGCCGGGGCAGGGGCCGGGGCATCTTCCCCCGCGGACGGGGCCGCTTCCTCTACCGGAAGTCCAATGCCAGCCCCAAATGGGCCCACGACAAGTTCAGCGGCGAGGAAGGCGAGATCGAGGACGACGAGAGCGGGGCCGAGACCCGGGAGGAGAAGGAGCCCCTGCCAACGGTAGCTGAGTAGCAAAAAGGAGGAGGAGATGTTCCTGTCAATCTGGACTGTCGTTGATCCTTATTGGCTAGTTGGATGTTTTGTTTTACAGATTCTCTGGGTTTATTTCCCCCCCCCCCCCCTCAATGACCCCAGAGGATGGTGGAGTGAGTCGTGCCCCATTACTCCTCTTGGCAATCATTTTTTGATTTCTTTCTTTCTTTTTTAATGATTATGGAGTCGGGGAGCTGTTTCCTCACTCTTTTGTGCCCCGTTGGTAGATGTTTTTTAAATCCCTTTATTTTTAGCATTTGCATCTACTTAGGCCGTGCCCTCTGAAAAATGGTTACTTTCAGAAACGCCTTCCTAGTTCTTAACGTGACACCAGAGCAATGCATGTGAATCCTCAAGACCTGGGTCGAAACCATTGGGACCAAATCCAGGTGTTCTTAAGTTCAAGGAACTGTTCCTCTGACTTGAATTCAGAGCCTTTTCTTTTAATGGAACCGGCATTTGTTTCTTTGTTTTCCTTTTGCGCTGGAATTTTTAAAGTTTAGCATGGCGCACCTGAGGGCCCTCTTCTTCTTCCTCTTCCTCTTGCCGGATTCCCCCAAAATGCAAAGCTGCTCTGGGCTGATGTTCGGTCACCTCACTCTCTTGTTTCTTCCTTTTGCGTCCTCTTCTTGCCTCAACTTTGAGGGCCATGTTGTTTTCTAAGAAACTTCTGAATATATTAGTTTAAAAGAAAACCCCAAAATAAAGCCTGTAGCATGAAAAACATGGGATTCCCCCCAGTATTTTTATTAACGTTTTTATAAAGCAAGATTGACTCATTTCTTGTGGGTGGCTGATTGTTGTGGGTGGCGAGTTGTCTCTTCAGCTTTAGCATAATGATCTGAAGGTGATCCTGTGGTGTTGATGACCAGTGATGAAAAGCACCATGGCTATGTTGAGGGATTGTTCCTCTTGAAATAAGGTTTTTCTCTTTCACTTTACTCCACTTTCTCCTCCTTCCTGTACTATCCCTAGAGCTCACTTTGTGCGATTGGTGCACTTCTTGCTTAGCGCCCACAAGTTTTTGTTTTTGACTTCCTTCAAATAAAACTATGTTAAACCGATGGCCTGTGTGTCCCTCTCCTGATGATTTCTTCCGTGCCTGCAGCAGAGAAGCTTCTTCCAGACAAAGCTGACAGCAAAAGTGTTGGAATTCAACCCCACATTGCCCAACTCTCATCAAACGGTGTGGGCAGACAGACTAAGCACTTACACTGGGTACACAGACTAGGCCCGTAATCCTTTTTGTTAGGGAAAACTACCCTAAATAAAGCAGAGCGTGAAGTGCCGTGTGATGTGGCTGTAAATATGAGATCAGAATGAAGAGAGGAGCCGTGAAGACAGTGCCATCTTGCCTCCAGTGTCATCAGTTGTGACCCCCCCCCCCCTCCAGCACCAACCGCTGCTCTTACATCAGAATGAAGAGAGGGGCCATGAAGGCAGTGTCATCAGTTGGGAGCCCCCCCAACACCAACTGCTGCTCAGAGGTCGGAATGAAGAGAGAGGCCATGAAGGCAGTGCCATCTTGCCTCCAGTGTCATCAGTTGGGAGCGCCCCCCCCCCCCTGCCTCTGAGGTCAGAGTGAAGAGAGGGGCCAGGAAGGCAATTCCTTCTTATCTCCTGCACTATGCTTATAATATAATGTAATATAATATAATGTAATGTAATTATATCTATCTATATATATAAATGCTCTGTGCATAATGAGTACCTTAAAAACAAAAGAACCAATGAACGAAATCACACCAAATTTGGCAACAAAACATCTCACAACACAAGGAATGACCATCACTCAAAACATTATGATTTTGGAGTTGTAGTTGCTGGGATTTATAGTTCACCTACAATCAAAGAGAATTCTGAACTCCATCAACGATGGAATTGAACCAAACTTGGTGCACAGAACTCCCATGATCAACAGAAAATACTGGAAGGGTTTGGTGGGCATTGACCGTGAGTTTGGGAGTTGTAGTTCACCTACATCCAGAGGGCACTGTGGACTCAAACAATGATGGATCTGGACCAAAATTGGCACAAGCACTCAATACGCCCAAAATTGAACACAGATGGAGTTTGGGGGAAATAGACCTTGACATTTGGGAGTTGTAGTCACTGGGATTCACAGTTCACCTACAATCAAAGAGCATTCCGAACCCCACGAACGACAGAATCGGGGCAAACTTCCCACACAGAACCCCCATGACCAACAGAAAATACTTAAGGCCATCCAATCCAACTCCCTTCATCAGGACAAAAAAATGTAATCAAAGTCCTCCTGACAAAGAGCCATCCAGCCATAGATAGATAGATAGATAGATGGATATGATTCACACACAGAGAGATATAGTATCATAGATTTGAAAGGTACCCTTGCAGAAGGACAATGATACGTTGCATGTTCCAGGCTGGGCAAACCAGACACTCTCCACATCAATGCTGACAAAGAAACAGCAAGAAATGTTGTTTACCCACAAGCATAAAGAAATTACATATATTAGAAACCAACACTCTCATTACTTTATTTTCCAGATCAACAGACTGAGCCACAGCAACGCGTGGCAGGGTACCGCTAGTACAATATAATACTACTACTAATAATATATTATAATTATATATTTTAAATGTAATATTACAGTATAATGTTATAGTACAATGTAATATATATAATATTAATATTGTGCTATGATAATAATATAATATATTGTATTTACTTGTATGCCACTCTGAGTCCCCTTTGGGGTGAGAAGGGCGGCATATAAATGTCGTAAATAAGTAAAGAATTCAGAGCTTAGGAGGCAAACATGTCAGAACGGCTTATCACAACATTCTAGGAGGCCCTAAAGGCCAACCAGGCCCATCCCTTCTGCCAGACAGGAAGATACCATCTAAGCTGGTGGTTCTTAACCTGTGGGCCGTGGACCACCAGTGGGCCGTGAGGATGAAAATCTGGTCTGCAAACCTTCCTCTTTATTTTATTTTATTTCCTCTCTTTTGCGCCACCTGCCACTCCTTCCCTGTTGCTGACCATGCCATATGTTCTGTATCAGAAACTAGCGCTGATGTGGTCTATTTATTATTTAGTTATTTAAAAGTTTTGTATACCGGCCTTCTCACCTCTCTTGAGGGACTCAGACTGGTTTCCAACCATAATATCACATACAATCAATAAAACATCATAATACATATTACAGTAAAAAATTGAAACAGCAGTTACAATCAATAACTACAATGGTCAGTCGTCACACTAAAATCGTTGCTCATCATCCTCCATCCATATCTCAGGGTGTTGGCTCACTCGTCGAATGCCTGCCTCCATAAACAAGTCTTCACCTGTTTCCTAAATGTCAGGATAGACGGGGCGGTTCTGATCTCCAGTGGGAGAGAGTTCCAGAGTCGAGGGGCCACCACCGAGAAGGCCCTTTCCCTCGTCCCCACCAGACGCGCTTGTGAGGCCGGTGGGGACGAGAGCAGGGCCTCTCCAGACGATCTTAATAATCTTGATGGTTCATAAGGGAGAATATATTTGGAGAGGTAAGCAGGACCGGAGTCGTTTAGGGCTTTATAGGTTAACACCAGCACTTTGAATTGTGCTCGGAAGCTAATTGGGAGCCAGTGGAGCTGGTGTAACAGCGGAGTGGTGTGCTCCCTGTACCCAGCACCCGTTAGTAGTCTGGCTGCCGAGCGTTGGACTAGCTGCAGCTTCCGGGCAGTCTTCAGAGGCAATCCCATGTAGAGAGCGTCTCTACCCAATGCAATTTTCTGAATCAGTACCCCAAACTAAATCTTAAGTTGACCATAAACTGATTCGTAACCATTTGGTACTAAAGTTGGCAAGTGGTCCCTGGTCAAATAGTCTCTGATCAAAAAAAGGTTGGGAACCACTGGTCTAAGTCCTCCTGACAGATGGTCATCCAGTCTCTGCTTCACAGTCTCCAGGAAGTAAAACTGCACCACATTGTGGTTGTGAAACCGTTTTTTTTTTTAAACTGTGCCCCATTCTGTGTTTCTTCTATTTAGCACCAACATGTAACTTTAAAAATGGTGACTGAAATGGGACATTGCAACCAAAGGCTCCTCCTCCGCATCCAATTGCAGAATTTGGAACGGCTATGTTTGGGCAAAGCTGGCCTTGGATTTGTGCAATTTCCATGTTGTGTAAATCCACACCTGGGCGGCCCAAATGGGAGCAAAGCCCTGACTTGCAGGGGACCCTATGAAAAGGGACTCTGTTTCACTGGAAGGAAAGGAGGCCTTGGGCTTTTGTCTTCCATGGAGAGCGCTTTTGTAGGCCTCTCCTGCCCCCTGCCGGCCCCACATGGTCGGGCCTTCCTTGCCTTGGGGTTTGGCTGCTGAAGGAAGCCAGTAAAACCACTTGGCAGTTGCTTTTGACCTCTGATTCACCACTGAGACTTCCTGTGAGTGCCTTTGGGGCTACCTTAGCGGAGAGTGAAACCTTTACAGTTGGGTTTTGTAAGGAAAATGGTAGAATCCGATGCAAGCGCTCAAGGACCTTGCGGGATTTGCTTCCTGTGTTAACCAGCTTGGTGGCCTGAGAGACGACAGAAGTAAACAAATAGGGAAAAGGAAACTCACCTTTCCGGGAGCCAGGCTGGTCAGTGGAGCAGTGAATCTATGTGAGGCTTGGAAAGAGCTCTCCAAGGTGCCCCCACATCGGAATTGGCATTTGTGGGGTATTTTAGAGTTCAGGCAAAGCTGTTAGTGGATATTTCAAGAAGCTATCCCTTTCAATCTTATCTCACACCCCATAATAAACGGAGATGTCCAGTCCTTGATTTGGATAGATCAGTGGTTCTCAGCCTTCCTAATGTCGTGACCCCTTAATACAGTTACTCATGTTGTGGTGACCCCCAGCCATAAAATTACAGTACTTTCAATGCTACTTTATAACTGTAATTTTGCTACTGTTATGAATTGTGCCCCCGGTGGCGCAGTGGGTTAAAGCACTGAGCTGCTGAGCTTGTTGATCGAAAGGTCGCAGGTTCGATTCCGGGGAGCGGCGTGAGCTTCCGCTGTCAGCCCTAGCTTCTGCCAACCTAGCAGTTTGAAAACATGCAAATGTGAGTAGATCAATAGGTACCGCTCCGGCGGGAAGGTAACGGCGCTCCATGCAGTCATGCCGGCCACACGACCTTGGAGGTGTCTATGGACAACGCTGGCTCTTCGGCTTAGAAATGGAGATGAGCACCACACCCCAGAGTCAGACATGACTGGACTTAATGTCAGGGGACTACCTTTACCTACCTTATGAATTGTGCAGGATGTATTTTCATTCACTGGACCAAATTTGGCACAAATACCCAATACACCCAAATTTGAATACTGATGGGGTTGGGGGGGGGGGGGGGATTGATTTCGTCATTTGGGAGTTGTAGTTGCTGGGATTTATAGTTCACCTACAATCAAAGAGCATTCTGAACTCCACCAACGATTGAACTGAAATAAACTTGGCACAGCGAACTTCCATGATCAACAGAAAATACTGGAAGGGTTTGGTGTACATTGACCTTGAGTTTGGGAGTTGTAGTTCACCTACATCCAAAGAGCACTGTGGACTCTTAACTATGATGGATCTGGATCAAACTTTGCATGAATCCTCAATATGCCCAAATGCGAACATTGGTGGAGTTTGGAGAAAATAGACCTTGACATTTGGGAGTTGTAGTTGCTGGGATTTATAGTTCACCTACAATCAAAGAGCATTCTGAAGCGGCTGAGGGGGGAAAGGAAGGGGCCTGAGGCTGTTAGGAATTGTGGGAGTTGAAGTCCAAAACACCTAGAGGGCCCAAGTTGGCCCATGCCTGCTCTAAAGCCATGCAAGCCATTAAGGCGCTCTCCAAACCTTTCTGGTGCTGCAAACACCCCTCTCTAAGCCCCACAAAATAAAGACAAAATGAAATCTCAAACATGAAAACATGCAAAAGGTCCTGCATCGTACAAGAACCCATGCTGTTGCCCACTTCTGGCATAAAGGGAACAGAGATCACCTGTCCAGGTTTTTTTCCAAGCAGAAAAACACCAAGAGACCCATGTTTCCAACGGGGCCTCCTGCCCTCATAATTTCGATGGGAGGTGCAGGGCTTTACGGCCCAGTGGGTTGCCAAAAAGAGACAAACCGGTCCTGCTGGTTGTCACTGGGGCTAGCGTGTTGGACCAGGAAGCCTCTCTCATGTTGGTTTTGCCCATCTTTGGTGTCCCAAAAGGTGCAACAGAATTGGGTCACTCCTTTTGCTCAGCGATGCTTGGGGCAAAGAAACAAGTGACTCACCCTCCATAGGGAGGAACCTGCGTTTTGATCGGGGTCAAAGGGAGGTTTCTGCAGACCCAGAAGGCAGAGAAATTGACGAAAGGACTAAAGGGGAGAAAAGGAAAGACAAGTTGCTTTTGCATTGACTCAATAAATGCACTTAGCAGATCTTCTCAAGTAACACTAGGTAAAAAAAAATAGAACAAAATTCTGTTCCTGGTTTGAAAACGTTGTTTCCTGTATAATTGTGCAGTACTAACTTTGAAAGTAGTTATTCTACTCAAGAAACATAGATAGATTAAACAGATGATAGATAGATAGATAGATAGATAGATAGATAGATAGATAGATAGATAGACAGACAGACTCAGGCCCTGTTTACCTCTCCGAATGTATTCTCCCCTATGAACCATCAAGATTTATTAAGATCGTCTGGAGAGGCCCTGCTCTCGGTCCCACCAGCCTCGCAAGCGCGTCTGGTGGGGACGAGGGACAGGGCCTTCTCGGTGGTGGCCCCTCGACTCTGGAATTCTCTCCCACTGGAGATCAGAACTGCTCCTTCTATCCTGACATTTAGGAAACAGGTGAAGACGTGGTTATGGAGACAGGCATTCAACGAGTGAACCAACACCAGGTGAAGACGTGGTTATGGAGACAGGCATTCGACGAGTGAACCAACACCCTGAGATATGGATGGAGGATGATGAACAACGATTTTAGTGTGATGACTGACCATTGTAGTTATTGAATGTAATTGCTATTTTAATTGTTTTACTGTAATATGAATTATGATGTTTTTATTGACTGTATGTGATATTATGGTTGAAAACCGGTCTGAGTCCCTCAAGAGAGGTGAGAAGGTCGGTATACAAAACTTTTAAATAAATAAATAAATGATAGATAGATAGATAGATAGATAGATAGATAGATAGATAGATGATAAAAAGCAAGATAGAGGTAACTAGGTGCTTTTTTTTTCATGTCAGGAGCGACCCAAGAAACTGCAAATCACTTCTGGTGGGAGAGAATTGGCTGTCTGCAAGGACGCTGCCGGTGGACGCCTGGATGTTTTACCATCCTGTGGGAGGCTTCCCTCATTTCCCTGCAATGGAAGTTGCAGCTGACAGATGGAAGCTCACCCCGCTTCCTGGATTTGAACTACCGACTTTTGGTCAGCAGTCCTGCCGGCACAAGGGTTTAACCCATTGTGCCACCGCAATGGGTTAAATGAAAATGTTGAATGCCTCCACCTTCGTTACTTGGGAATATTTTAATAAATCAAACGCAGAAATAATCCTTAGAATGTGCTCTTTAACTACCACTATTCACTTTTCCACATAATGTTTATAGGTGTTGACCTATAAAGCCCTAAACGACTCCGGCCCTGTTTACCTCTCCGAACGTATTCTCCCCTACAAGCCATCAAGATTACTAAGATCATCTGGAGAGGCCCTGCTCTTGGTCCCACCAGCCTCGCAAGCGCGTCTGGTGGGGACGAGGGACAGGGCCTTCTCGGTGGTGGCCCCACAACTCTGGAACTCTCTCCCTCTGGAGGCCAGAACCGCCCCATTCATCCTAACATTTAGGAAACGGGTGAAGACGTGGCTGTGGAGTCAGGCCTTCGAGGAATGAGACAACACCATAGGACTCTGGATGGAAGTGGATATAGATCCATCTTATTAGGACGACTGACCACTGTAGTTTTATATTTAGTGTTTTTAAAGTTGTTTTGTAATTTGTGATATATGATATTTTAATGAATGTATATGTTTTTATGGCTGTAAACCGGGCTGAGTCCCTCAACGAGGTTGAGAAGCTCGGTATACAAAACTGTGAAATAAATAAATAAATAAATAATCACCAGACAATTGGATACATTTCTGCCAATGATGAACAAATTTTCTGAAGCTGTCACGAAAGAAGTCGACACTCTGTTTCCACAACCAGCGTCTCTCAGTTCTCTCAACGTCTTCATCAGAAGCATAATGATGTCCCCGCAGATCTTCTTTCATTATTGGGAACAGAAATGCTGATTGTGCTTGAAATTTCTCTCTGAGTGATACAACGATCATCCTGAATTGATCTGTCAACCTTTTCCTTGTGAAACTCGGTGGTTGCTGTCACAGGACGTCCAACTCTTTGTTTGTCACACAATCAGATGTTCCCACCTCAACATCTTTAAACTTACTCACCCAATGACGTACAGTACTCACATCAACACAATCACCATAAACAGCTTGCATTCTCTGATGAATCTCCTTTGGGGTGACACCTTCTGCTGTCAAGAATTCAATGACTGCACGTTGCTTAAGTTGCATTGACCAACCGTCTGCGCAGGGTTCCATACTTCGCACTTTAACAATGCAACCATTCAATGCTAAGTCTTCCTGCCAAAATGGAACTGTAGAGGAGAGTCTACTGAACAAGACAGTGCCTGCTGCATACCAGTACTGCCATCTGCTGAGGAGTTATGAAGGTGGAGGCATTACTTTTCATTCAACCCTTGTAAATAATAAATGAGATCGAAAGATAGACAACACAGATATACAACAGACAGTACATCTTTACATATAAAAAAACAGCCTGCGTATGTTTGTGCTCGCAAAACTCGAAAAGTAGTTGGCCGATTGACATTTTGACACAACCTTGCATTCCAATATACACATGTTTTAATTCACACCAATGGATGATGGGACTTGCATTACCTTCACACAATTCCTGAGACCACTACAAACCACACCAATGGTGGATAAAGACCAAACTTGGCACACAGAGCCCCATGACCCACTTTACATCCTGGTGCAGTTTGGGGGAGGACAGACCATGAATGATGGGATCTACAATACCTTCACTCGCTTCCAGAGACGACTGTGAACCCCATGTATGATGGACCTGGACCAAACTTGGCACATAGAACCCCCCCCCCCCCATGGTGCACTTTAGGTCCGGTGCACTTTAGCAGAGGATGGACCATGGATTATGGGATACCCAGCACTTTCAACTGCTTTGGATCTGAATTCAAATGACCTCTATGACCCCCACAAATGATGGGCCAGGATCACATTTGGCATGCAGGCCCCCCATGACCAACTAGACTTTCTTTTCTTTCATTCCACATAGATGTGTTTCTTCAGGTGGGTCGCCAGGGGGTGTCAGAGGGGTCACCAAAGACCATCAGAAAGCACAGCATTTTCTGTTGGTCATGGGGGTTCTGTGTGGGAAGTTTGGCCCAATTCTATCATTGGTGGGGTTCTGAATGCTCTTTGATTGTAGGTGAACTATAAATCCCAGCAACTACAACTCCCAAATGTCAAGGTCTATTTTCCCCAAACTCCACCAATGTTGACATTTGAGTATATTGGGTATTCATGCCAAATTTGATTCAGATCCATCATTGTTTGAGCCCACAGTGCTCTCTGGATGTAGGTGAATTACAACTCCAAAACTCAAGGTCAATGCCCACCAGACCCTTTCAGTATTTTCTGTTGGTCATGGGAGTTCTGTGTGCCAAGTTTGGATCAATTCCATTGTTGGTGGAATTCAGAAAGCTCTTTGATTGTAGTTGTTGTTGTTCATTCGTTCTGTCGTCTCCGACTCTTCATGACCTCACGGACCAGCCCACGCCAGAGCTCCCTGTCGGCCGTCACCACCCCCAGCTCCTTCAAGGTCAGTCCAGTCACTTCAAGGATGCCATCCATCCATCTTGCCCTTGGTCGGCCCCTCTTCCTTTTGCCTTCCACTTTCCCCAGCATTATTGTCTTCTCTAGGCTTTGCTGTCTCCTCATGATGTGGCCAAAGTACTTCAACTTTGTCTCTAGTATCCTTCCCTCCAGTGAGCAGTCGGGCTTTATTTCCTGGAGGATGGACTGATTGGATCTTCTCGCAGTCCAAGGCACTCTCAGAACTTTCCTCCAGCACCACAGCTCAAAAGCATCGATCTTCCTTCGCTCAGCCTTCCCTAAGGTCCAGTTCTCACATCCGTAGGTTACTACAGGGAATACCATGGCTTTGACTAGGCGGATCTTTGTTGCCAGTGTGATGTCTTTGATTGTAGATGAACTATAAATCCCAATAACTACAACTCCCAAATGACAAAATCAATCCACCCAACCCCACCAGTATTCAAATTTGGGCGTATTGGGTGTTTGTGCCAAATTTGGTCCAGTGAATGAAAATACATCCTGCATATCAGATATTTAGATTACGATTCATAACAGTAGCAAAATTCCAGTTATGAAGTAGCAACAAAAATAAGTTTATGGTTGGGGTTCACCACAACATGAGGAACTGTATTAAGTGGTCACGGCATTAGGAAGGTTGAGAAGCATTGCTCTATCCTAAGTATCATTTTTGTACTTTGAAATGCTTTTCTATTTTGGAGGAATTTCCCAAAAAGGGTGCCCTTCTAGGGTCATTCATAATAGTCCATTTGGAGGCATCAAGCCCTCTGAGCAGCAAAAGAACGGAGAAGAGGCCCTCCCTTTCGTCTTCCTTCTGGGGAACCTGCCTCACCTGTTTGGGCCCGTCCCCCTGTCCCTCCCTGCCTTGTGGGCCAGGCGTGTCCTGAAGGGCCTTTCCTCTTTCCTCATCCCTCACAGCCTCCCACTTCACCCAGGAGAGCGGCCAGTGAGCGGAATCCCTGCTGAAGGAGAAGGCAAAATGGGTACGTAATGGGGGTCCACCAGAGCAGCCCTGGACCAGAAAGGATGCAGGCGGTTAAGTTGGGGGTGATCTCTGGCTTGCACCGTCTTTAGGGCATATATTTCTTCAGTATTGATTGCATCGTAAACATGATAGCCAGGTTTAATTATTACGAAAAATGTCCCATTGAGGAGGAGCGGAGGGGGTAGCTTGTTTTCTGCTGATCTGGAGAGTAGGCCACAATGGGAGGAATGAGTTCAAATGGCAGGAAACAAAAGATTCAGAAGTGGAATCAGTTGCTTTGGAGTGCGTTGCAGTCTCCTTCCTTCTCTGGAGGGTTTGGATGGCCATCTGTCAGGAGGGCTTTGTGGTGTTCTCCTCCATGGGAGGGAGTTGGATGGGATGGCCCTTGGGGATCTCTTCCAACTCTAGGATTCCATCATCATCATCATCATCATCATCATCATCATCATCATCATCATCATAGAATCATAGAATCATAGAATCAAGAGTTGGAAGAGACCTCATGGGCCATCCAGTCCAACCCCCTGCCAAGAAGCAGGAATATTGCATTCAAATCACCCCTGACAGATGGCCATCCAGCCTCTGTTTAAAGCTTCCAAAGAAGGAGCCTCCACCACACTCCAGGGCAGGGAGTTCCACTGCTGAACGGCTCTCACAGTCAGGAAGTTCTTCCTCATGTTCAGATGGAATCTCCTCTCTTGTAGTTTGAAGCCATTGTTCCGCGTCCTAGTCTCCAGGGAAGCAGAAAACAAGCTTGCTCCCTCCTCCCTGTGGCTTCCTCACATATTTATACATGGCTATCATATCTCCTCTCAGCCTTCTCTTCTTCAGGCTAAACATGCCCAGCTCCTTAAGCCGCTCCTCATAGGGCTTGTTCTCCAGACCCTTGATCATTTTAGTTGCCCTCCTCTGGACACATTCCAGCTTGTCAATATCTCTCTTGAATTGTGGTGCCCAGAATTGGACACAATATTCCAGGTGTGGTCTAACCAAAGCGGAATAGAGGGTTAGCATGACTTCCCTAGATCTAGACACTATGCTCCTATTGATGCAGGCCAAAATCCCATTGGCTTTTTTTGCCGCCACATCACATTGTTGGCTCATGTTTAACTTGTTGTCCATGAGGACTCCAAGATCTTTCTCACATGTACTGCTCTCGAGCCAGGCATCCCCCATTCTGTATCTTTGCATCATCATCATCATCTGGATGGCCATCTGTCGGGAGGGCTTGGATGGTGCCTTTCTGCCTGGCAGAACAGGGTTAGACTGGATGGCCCTTAGGGTCCCTTTCAATCTAGAAGTCTATGATTCCACTACTTCCTACGCAGCAAAAACATACATGATTCAGTCCTTTCTTCCTTCTGCCGCTGGGGGTTAAGGAGCTGAGCACTGGGTCACTGGATTATTGTTTATTGGTTATGTATGTTCCATTGGTTTTATATTTTGTTATATGCTGTTGATTGTGATTGGTGTACATTTGTAAGGCATTGAATTTTGCCATGATTTCTGTGTAAACCGCTTTGAGTGCCCCCAGGGGTGAGAAAAGTGGTATAGAAATAC